ATTTTTTTTTATAATTGTCGTCTTTTGTTACTCGGTTTTAAACTCGCATTACTCATTAGTTATTAAAATATCAAGTCGTATTAAGTTCAGCTGTAGTTTTAATGAGTCATAGAGCTAACTAACTCTGGTTAATGACCGTTTCCAAGGTGTCTGTTGAACCGGAAACTGAAAGTCAAAGTCTTTGCAGTTAGATTTTTTTATTATTATCGTCTTTAAATTAATTTTCGTTGATCTTAAACTAGCATTAGCCATTAATTAAAATATATATATGACGTGTTAACCTAGCTGTAGTTTTGAAAGCATCCTGAGTGCGTGGACGTGGATTTATTATGCATTTCTTATCAATAAGTTCAGAGGGAAATATTGTACTTTTTACCCCACTACTACATCTGACAGGTGTGGTGTTAAAGAAAACACATGATAAGCACACAGAGTACATTTGAAACAATTCAAGGTCCAAATAAAAACCCCTCAGATTTACCTGAACAACCAGTGCTCCTCATAAGAATAAATACCTGTCATTAAAGAACCCTGCTGTATGTGTACATCCTGTCATCTGCTGCACAGAAACACCTAAATGTTTTTCACCTTCAGCGGAATCAGACACAGTCTCATCATGTCGTCTGACCACATCTGTCTTCTCCGGAGGCCTCTGCCCCCCAGAAGGTTCCCTCCCATCGTAAAAACCTCTCCTGCTCCCACAGTGTCAGGTACACTCACTTCTCATCATTACAGATTGACACAAACATATGTCTGTGGGGATTCACAACTGTCCTCAGCAAAGATGCATCGTTTGTTTGATATTTCTGCTGCCAAATAGTAAAATAAGTAAATTGCTCACATCTTTTCTTGGAGTTTGGGTCACACAGACACGTCAGGCTGCAGAGACTTTGATCGGTCACTGAGCAGATTTGACAGACAGTATGTTTCCTCACGTTCGTTTGCCTTTGAATTCCTTTGACACCACAAAATTGCCTCAATTATTTTGGCTAAACGGACGGTGATTATGTGTCCATCAAGTCATAAGTCTTCGAATAGAAAACAAAATGGACGTAAATCTGGTTAAGATGGTCAGCTCTTTGCTACAAGATGAAAACGCAGACAGACAGAGTCATCAGATTGATGAAGTTACAAACCTGTAATTTAAGAAACCAGAGGAGAAGACAGAGAGAAATGAAAAAAAAAATGCTTTTAATGAAACATTTACAAGAGGAAAAGAGGAAAAATAGCTTAAAATAAATAATTATAAACACAGAATGAATGTCAGATATGATGCAGATCTTAAAGCCACAGAGTGAAGAAATTGACCTGAAGAATGAATACTACATCACTTAAAAGATGTTGCTATAAGATGAAGGAAACGTGCAAATGTAACATGGTTTACAGAAACATACATTGCCAACATTGCTTTCTCTGACACATGGGCTGCAGTTATTACTACATAAGCAGCAACTCCTCACTTGATGAAGCTGAAATCTGCCTGCCTGGCCCTGTCAGGCTCACTAAATAATGTGTTATATCTCATTAGAGTGATCCACACACATGTAAAAACCTCACAGTGACAACAAGACTCCAGAGAATCACTGCAACAGGCTAAGAAATAGTTCAGCACATTACCTCACAAAAAACAGCAACATGTTTTATACTTAGCACTCTCGCCTCACAGCAAGAGGGTTGCCGGTTCGATCCTGGGCATGGGAGCCCTTCTGTGTGGAGTTTGCATGTTCTCCCCTTGTCAGCGTGTGTTCTCTCCGGGCACTCCGGCTTCCTCCCACAGTCCAAAGACATGCAGATTGGGGACTAGGTTAATTGATAACTCTAAATTGTCCGTAGGTGTGAATGGTTGTCTGTCTCTATGTGTCAGCCCTGCGATAGTCTGGTGACCTGTCCAGGGTGTACCCTGCCTCTCGCCCGATGTCAGCTGGGATAGGCTCCAGCCCCCCTGCGACCCTCAAGAGGATGGAGCGGTTAGAAAATGAATGAATGTTAGTAAGTTAACTTTGAAGGAGCTGGAAGATGGATTTTGTTCCCTCTGGACTGAGCCAGACTGGCTGTTTCCCTGTTTCCAGTCTTTATGCTAAGCTAAGCTAACCAGCTGAACATCTGACTCTCTGCAAGAGGGCAAATATTTCCAGAAATGTCAAATTATTCTCTTTAAAAATGCAGCAGTGAGTCTGAAAATATGCTGTCTCAAGCTCCGTTTAAATGAATCACAGTGCAGTCAGACACTGACACTAAAACACACTGATGAGTCAGTGGTTAGCACATGATGAGGACGTCACATCAGCAGCAGAGAAGGAAAATCAACAATGAACAGTGTTGTAATTATTTCATAAAACGTTTGCTGGAAGTGAAGAAAAGAGGAAGTTACAGTCAGTGGCCCAACTCAGGAGGAGGACTGAGGTTTAGTGAGCTGAAGCTGCTCCTCCTCCATCACTGTCTTCACATTCTGCAGACAGACTATTTAAACTGAAGATACACTGTTGTTGAAACGTTATTAATCTCCTGCCACAGATGTCAGATGTGTGAGAGGACTCCTCTGTATGTCCCAGTGCTCCTTCAGGTTTCTTTACAAACAGATGTTATTTAGTCTTAGGGGTTTGTTGTGTCCACGGAGAGCAACAAGCTGAGCCGACCTCCACTCCTCCCCTCAGCAGGTGCAGCCGTGCAGTCACTGCTCCTGGATCAGGGTGATACAGGTCCGAGGGGATCCAGCAGGCAGGTAGCTGACACCCCCGCCCCCAGGGCAGCCCCGCCCACCCCTCTGCAGCCCAACACCTCCACCCTGCTGACGGACAAAATCACTGAGGCGTTCCCCTGTAAACTGCCACGCCTCCGCCCCAGCAACCCTCTGCTGTCGCTCCTTCACTCTGGTGAGACTCAATATCATCACGTCCAAAACTGAAAATTTCACTTTCATATTAACTCTAACTTGTATTTTGACAGATCAGCGCTTCCTTCCTCCGCCACCAACTTTCTGCCTCAGTGACTTCCTTCAGAGCCATAATGGTGCCCAGGACAGCTCCCAGTCACCTCCAGTCTGACCACAACCAGAGCCACACACTGAGGTCTGCAGCCAGGACATGGATTCACAGGAGGCTCTGAATATCTACAGGAAGAACTTGTGTTGTAATGTTAACTTTACTCACAGTTAGGTTTTGCAGAAGTTTGAGGAAAATAGTTTAAAAATATTCAGACAAAGCCAAAAATAGATTAGTAGATTAGTCATTATACAAACTCAGCATGATCCAGTGCCACAGAACTTTATTTTAATTTCTTTTCTTTTTTTTTGTTTTTAAAGATAGGTTTTGGGGCATTTTGCCTTTAATGAATAGGATAGCCAAGTGTGTGTGTGTGTGTGTGTGTGTGTGTGTGTGTGTGTGTGTGTGGGGGGGGGGGGGTAAAAAACAAAAACAAAGTGATGATTTAAGACAGCTGAATTAAATACTCAAGCAGTAGCTCAGTCCATAGGGACTTGGGTTGGGAACTGTTCAAATCCCCGTCCGGACCATATACGGAGCGTGGACTGGTGGCTGGAGAGGTGCCAGTTCACCTCCTGGGCACTGCTGAGGTGCCGTTGAGCAAGGCACCGAACCCCCCAACTGCTCGGGGCGCCTGACCATGGCAGCCCCCTCACTCTGACATCTCTCCACTTTGTGCATGTATAGGTCCTGTTTGTGCATGTGTGTGTCTTTCGGATCTGTGTGTTAATGACAAAAAAAAAGAGTGGAAAAATTGAATTTCCCCTCAGGGGGATTAATAAAGTGTGTGTGTGTATATATATATATACACACACACACACACATATATATATATATATATATATATATATATATATAAAACTTTGTCTCAAAGGCCTAAATCTAAATCCAGCACATAACCAGAGTTCAGGAGGGAGTAACTGTCTTGGTTGAACGTTGGCTCCTCCACATGGCAAACAGAGGTAACTGTTTAAAACATCCACCCCAACAACATGTTATTTATTTATTATATGTGTGTGTTTATTTTTGCCTGGCATCACATCTTTATTTCAAATGTGTGTTATAATGAATTGAATAAATAAATAAATAAAAGCACCCTCATTTGAGGGGTTTTAGGTTGGATAACAGGTTTATTTCCAATTACCAAAAATAAAAAGGTAAACGTATGTTTTTGAAAAATGTATTTATTTTTTGAGTATGTATGTGAGTATATTTGCCTAGCATCACTTTTATTTTAACGTGTTGTCATAAAAAAATATTATGGAGTATATAAGTAATCTACATAAATTATATTTAATATATTTAATTAACAGTCATGAAAAAGAAGGTTAACAAACAGAATCTTTTTGTAAAATTTAATCTAAGTCATTGTCTTAACTAATATTTGCCTCGCATCACATTATTATTTTAACACATGCTGTAATAAATTAATTAACTGATTAATGAATAAATAAATACATAATCTGAGGAGTTAAAGATGGATATTGACTGAGTAATATTAGGGCTATTATGGATTATACAAGTAAACTATATATTTTATATTATGTTACTCATTATTATTTTATTATGTATATACACTTATTTTATGTTACCAATTATTAAAAAAACAAACAAATCGTTTCCTAAAATTTGTTATGTTATTTTCTTGCCTGACATTACTCTTATTTTAACATAAGACAATATTGCAATAGATAAATAAAAACTCTCATTTTAAAGGTGTGGGGTGGATATTGAATATTATCGTGTCTTTAATGGATTTTATAAACTACATATTTTATATTTATATTTTTTATTATTCTTTTATTTTACAAACTACTAAAACAAGAAGGTAAAACACACAAAATATTTTTGTAAATTTTGATCTATATTATTTTCTTATCTTTTGTGCGTATATTTGTCTGACATCACTTTTAACGTGTTGTAAAAAATAAATAAATTACAGTCATGTGTTGATGACGTGTAGGTAAACAAACGCTGAGCCAATCACAGAGCGACAGCTCGGTCAGCTGACAACAGCTTCCGGTGAAGTGTTGTGTTGTCAAGATGGCAGGACACGAACATCATCACCACTTGTCTCTGTGTTTCTGTGATTTAATGAGGTAAAACTTTCTCCTCTCGGTGTCTCGTTGCTTCGCTGAACAGATTAAATGTTATCAAACCGGAGAGTTAAAGAAATAATCTCATGAACACGAGCTAACTGCTCAATGCTAACTTTAGCTTCATTAGCAGCTAGGTGGCTAATCTCAAAGTTACAGTAAACTACAGTATGTCGGTTAAAGTCCGGTGGTTAACGGCCCGGTGGTGTCACTCAGCCCGCTCACAGCCTTCTATGTCCCCCTCCTCAGGTTGTTGTGGTCCCTGGTGGTCCCCTGCGCTTACCTCAGCCTGCTCCTGACCCTCGTCCTGCTGCTGCTCCTGCTGGGGGTCCGGATGTGGCTGCAGGGCCGCCGCAAGGCCCGCCGGGCTCGGGACGGTGGACCCGCGGTGGCCTTCTTCCACCCGTACTGCAACGCGGGAGGAGGCGGAGAGCGGGTCCTCTGGTGCTCCCTGAGGGCCCTCATGCACCGGTACAGTCTATACTGCTATCTGTCAGTGGTGGAAAGTTAATAAGTACATTTACTTAAGTTTTAAGGTACTTGTACTGTACTTGAGTATTTTCTGCTACATGATACTGGTACTGCAGTAGATTTATCTGACAGCTTTAGTTACAGAACAGATTCAGATTAAGAATAGAAAACACAGTCGATAGATTAATAATGCATTATTACAGATTAATATTACAGCACAAAAATGAAGATTTTCATGTTATATCTGACGTGATTGTAACTGTCAGGTGTCCACATACTTTTGCATAATAACGAGTTTACAAATACTAGTAACAGGCAACAACAGATCAAGAGCATATACTGTATAAAATAACAGACGTAGCTACTGTGACGCCACAAGTTGGTTTGTGGACTCCTGTTTTGAGACCTGGGTGCAGTGCTGGAGGCAGGACTCTGTTCATCCCTATGAAAGTTGTATGAAGTTGCCAGTGTCTCATTAACCTGAAAAAGCTTTTCTTACTATGAAATTATCGGAATAATCGGTGCTGCCTCCACATCAGTGGGCCCATAGAGGCTAAAGGGAAGACTTCCAGTTTAGCTCTGCTAACTTCAGTGGGGATAAAATGGTTTCATCTTGTGGCTCTTCTAGACTTTCCAAATGTTATCCGACCAAATGACTATATCCTGATCAGAACAAGTCAGTTTGCAGAGGCTGTGGTGCTCAAAAAATTGTATCCACTTATTTACAGATGTCTCTTTCACTTTAAGTCTATGGAAGAAGGTCTTTTTGGGCCCCATAGCATCATGGGATGGGCAGCAGAAATTGCAGTACCACTGTTTGGCCACTACAAAAACTGGCTTCACAGCCTGGCTCACTTCCTGGGGGCGTGGAAGCCTCGAGTTCGGCATTTCACCCATTGCCATTTTGGTTTTGGAGCCATAAGTGACCATATTTTAGGAGCAAGGGGTGGATCTGACTCAGATTGTGGTGACGCCCCACAGACAGCCTGTCACTCAAGGGGCTCCACACTTAATTATGAGTAACTATAAACCTTAATAAAACATAAACAGGTGAGTTATATAAAAAATCAGCCGTCTACAGTTGTCATGAATGTTGAAATTAGCTACAGAGTCCAAACTGTTTTTGTACCAGGCTGTAAACGTGTTTATTTCTGCTGTAAATTTGAACATGTCAACATTTTACACATACTTACATTAGTTAGTTTCAGGTTTTGGTCATAATAAAAATTTTGTTAAACCAAATGATAATAGTAATTGTTTAATCCTTTACAACATGATACTGTGATATTTCCTGATACTGTTAGCATACTGTCAAACTCTCACACCGTTGCAACCCCACTGTGGAAATAAGGTCATTTATTCAACGGCAATTAAAAATATTGTCACTTAGCTAACATCAGCTAAGAGGTAACAGAAACAGTAGAAATCTTACAGTACCCAACTGAGGCTTAAATCTAATGAATGACTGAAACTGATTCATGTTTTTCTTCCTCTCCTCAGTTACCCCGGCATCTCCTTCGTGGTTTACACGGGCGACCAGGGAGTGACCGGCGAGCAGATTCTGGAGGGAGCCCGACAACGTTTCAACATCACGCTGCCTCGATCAGTCACCTTCGTCTTCCTGCGTCACCGCTCACTGGTGGAGGCTAGCTCCTACCCTCACTTCACCCTGCTGGGACAGAGTGGCGGCTCCATGTTCCTCGGTGAGTCCAAGCCACAACATGTGACTTATAGTAAATTCTGACATAGATGGAGATCGTGCGCTCAGTTACAGTTACACTGTGTGTGTGTGTGTGTGTGTGTGTTGTAGGCTGGGAGGCATTGACGGCCTTCGTTCCCGACCTGTATGTGGACTCGATGGGCTACGCCTTCACTCTGCCCATCTTCCGCTGCCTGGGAGGCTGTAAGGTGGCGAGCTACGTTCACTATCCCACCGTCAGCACCGACATGCTGTCTGTGGTCAGAGAGAGGAACCCCAGGTAACGCTGCACACGAAAACCTGTCATTTAAAACGCTGTGGGCGTGACTTAGTGATGGTTTGATCTTAAGAAATGGGGTTGTATGACGTGCTTATCCATAGACAGTATATTACCTACAGTAGATGTTAGTCGGCATGTCCCTCAGAGGCTTCTGTAATTATATTTGGGAAGAAAGAAGCATTTTAGTTTGAGTGTAAATCTGAAACTGAGAGAAAATAGTTTTAGTTTAGCAGGTTCAGTTTGGACATTCTCTTATAAAACACACACCAACCTTTTGTCTTCGTCCTGTTTGATTCCAGATTCAACAACGCTGACTTCATCTCCAGAAACCCGGTGCTCAGCGCAGTGAAGGTGGTGTACTACTGCTGCTTCGCCCTGCTCTACGGCCTGGCCGGCTCCTGCAGCGACGTCATCATGGTGAACTCCACCTGGACGCTGGGTCACATCCTGGCTCTGTGGCGCTCGCCGAGCCGCACCAGCATTGTCTACCCGCCCTGCGACGTCAGGGCCTTCCTGGACATCCCGCTGGACGAGGAGGAGGATGAAGAGGAGGTGGAGGAGGAAGGCTGGGAGGAGCTCGGACGGGAGGAAGAGGAGGGAAGGGACAGGAAGTGCCACTCCATCGTGTCGGTGGGTCAGTTCCGGCCAGAGAAGGACCATCGGCTGCAGATCAGGGCGTTTCACAAACTGCTGGGCAGGAAGGAGGGCGGGCCCGGGGGGCGGGAGTCTCTGCGCCTGGTGCTGATTGGTGGATGCAGGAACCAGGAGGATGAGGAGCGGGTGCTGATGCTGCGGGGTCTGTGTCAGGAGCTGGGCGTGACCGACCGCGTCGACTTCAAACTCAACGTGCCCTTTGAAGAGCTGAAGAGAGAGCTGGTGGATGCCACCATCGGTCTGCACACCATGTGGAACGAACACTTCGGTATCGGTGAGGAAAACAACACACACACACACACACACATTGGCCTGTAACTAAATGCTTCCATTCACATGATAGGTATCAAATGAAGTTTTCTATCAGTATCACTGTCAGGGTACTGCTGTCGTTACTTTTAAAATGATACTCAGCTGTTGATACGTCAGGAGTGAAATTCCTCTCTGTGTCCAGGTGTGGTGGAGTGTATGGCTGCAGGCACCATCGTTCTCGCTCATAAGTCTGGAGGTCCGAAGCTGGACATCGTGGTGCCATACGAAGGCGGACAGACGGGCTTCCTGGCCGACAGCGAGGACAGCTACGCCGCTTCCATGGAAACCATCCTGGCGCTGTCTCCATCGGCCAGACTGGAGATCCGACGTAACGCCCGGCGCTCTGTGGAGCGATTCTCCGACCAGGAGTTTGAGGCTTGTTTCCTCGCTGCCATGGAGTCTCTGATGGGTAAACTGGAGCGATGAAGAGGAGCAGACGAGGCCCAGCGTCCACCAGGGACCAGGACTTAAATGCATTCTTGAGCACAGATTTTTGTACTGAAGCAGCGAGGTCATGAAGTGTGACACACAACAGAGAAAGAAGGTGACGTTATAAAGAGGAGTCCCTGGTGGACGCCCACAGATAAAATGTTCTTCATATCTGCTGTGATCAATCAGCAAACACAGAATACATTTCCAGTGACTCTGCATGTGTCAAACTCACAACGACTGTTCACCAAACAAACAGAAACATGGAGGAGCAGCAGAGACGGAGGCTCCTCTGCTCACACACAGCTCACAGGGCTGATTGTCTGTCAGGATGTAAACGGGGTGAGTTTCTGCTGCAGCTCCAGAGACTCAGAGAAGCAGATCCTGAACTTTAAATGTAAAACATAAACGTTACATGTGTTCACCATCAAACTGTCTTTGTTTATGTGTTGAAGTGACTTCAGCCAAAAGCTTAGAAGAGATCTCAAGCTTCAGGAAACTTTCTGTTAAATCACATTGTTCACCAGTGGGATGTGACATTTCCAAGTTGAAGTACTTTGAGATTTGAGGAGTTTGTTTTCTTAGCTGGATGAGAATATCGTCATTGCCTTTATATCTCTGTTATACTTGGTAGAGGAGCTGTTGAGCTTAGCTTAGCACGAAGGCTGTGAGCAGAGGGAAACTGTCAGCCTGCATACAAAGAGAAAAAGTTCATCTTCAATCTATCTGTGCTGAAGCACGTGGGGAGAGCAGATGGAGCCACTGGTCTGTGTGGGTTCATGAGAGGAAACATATATTAATATATACACATTGTATTAACATATTTCTCCTCCATTGACGTAAGTAGTGATGGTTGGTCTTTGTGGTATTTGTCACTCCTCTACTATGATTGGACGGCTGGGTCACCAGAAAAAACACCACCAAAGACGCAGCACTCAAAGCCTTGTTGCCCCGCTGGTGTTTGTAGTAGATTTCTAAATTTGTGTTGCTGCCATTGCAGAGAATTAGGTCCCGTTTATACGACAACGATTTCAACTGAAAACGGTAAACTTAAGTTGCGTTGTGGCCGATCGTTTACACGACAACGGCATTTTAGGTGCCTGAAAACAACGTTTTGAAAACGGGTTCCAGAGTGTTTTTTTTTTTTTTTTTTTTTTTTTTTTTTTGGAAACGGCACCGTCTCCGTTGTCATGTAAACTTGCAATATGCAGTTCCTCTGAAAACAGAGGCGTTTCGCTTCCAGTCACTAGGCATGCGCGAGAAAGTCAACCAATCACAGCAATGATGGCGGACTCCCGAGCTCTGTTTGTGCTGCTCACCCTGTTGAATTTATCAACGCTTTCCCATCATAGTGTAGATTTACTGTAGCAACTCCACCTCGTCGTCCGTCCAGACAGACGTTCGTGTGGTTGCCATTTTGTTTGTTTATGCTCTGTAGAAGGAAGCGTCACATCGCCAACTACTGGCCTGGCATGTATACTGCAGCATTTTTGGTCATTTTTGTGAATCCGTGTGCACGATGATTGTTATCAAAACGTTGTCGTCTAAATGCGGAACTTTTTTCAAAACAAAAATGAGAAACGATTCTGTTTTCAGTGGATCGTTTTCGTGTAAACATGGCCTGAGCAAAATGCACTGGCCTCAAGAAAAATGCTTTGGCAGACATGGCCCCTAATCATTTTGTTTATAGGTACAAAAGTGAGCACAGTCAGCAACTTAACTACACTTTGTCTTCATAGGTTTAGAAGCTTCTCTATCTCTACTTGTGTTTAAATACGTAAGATACAACATGTTAATCAGATAGCTCTTTTGATTATGCTCGGCTATCAGTTTCCCCCTGCTTCCAGTCTTTGTGCTAAGCTAAGCTAACACATGTTGGACATATCTGGAAATGAATCTTCTCATCAGACTATGAAGCATATTCACTTCCCAAATGTTCCTTTAAGGTGTTTAATTAAATTGAGAGTTACATTCCAAATATCTTTTTGTTCGACACCACTGATGTGTGAAGTTATTCAGATTTTAATTATAGTAATTTATGAAGATGGTAGTATTCTTAATGATTCCTAAATAGATGTGAAAGGGTTTGTGATGTTAGTTTTCCTGACAGAGTCACTGAATGAAGACATTTTTTTATGCACTTTGAAGAAGCACTTAAGTGTGTTTGGGTTTAAGGTGACGGCGAAATCAATCGGCGAAATCTTTATTTAAATGTAGTTTCACTTCCTGCATTCCTGTTTGTAACGAGGTCGAGGCACAGAGATGTGAAAGTGTGTGAAATATTAAGGAATCTTTATTTTGAAAGAGACATTGTTACTGTTTAAGGTTGTTTATGTAGAAATAAGATTCAAATACTGCAATAAATACAATCATCAACACTTCATATTAACTGTCTGTTATGTGTGTGAAACAGAGTTAAAGCACAGAAAGGTACAAACATTACTGCTGCTTGTTAAACAATATCTTCCATATAACTGCTCTGTGCCAGAGTGAAGCATTAAAATCAGAAGTCACACTGAAGCTGATGTTAAAGGAGACGTCTGCTGATTTTCAGCTTTTTCCAAATGTCACAAAATCCCATAAAAAGATTCAATCCTACATAAACCGTCCTGCTGCCACAGATACTCACTGGAGCACCAAATGTGGATTAATCCACCGCTGAAAATAGTCCCCTACACAGTCACTGATTCCTCCTGTTTGTTAAATTAAAAACTACAGTGAGCAGCTGTGACGACATTACTGATGAAACTGTTGCAGTGTCTCAAATCAGATACCTCCGTTAGAACACTGTGTTCACTGTGTAGTTACTTGTGTAGTGCTTGAATTTTGACAGGTTAGTGTTGTCTCAGATCAAACATGGCAGTTGACAGCTTTCCTTCTGCTCAGTGAACTGCAGCCAGGCTGAGCATCATCACCTGAATGACTATCTCTCGTCAATGTTCGAGTGAATGTATGATTGCTGTATCTGCCTGTTTGCTCCTTTGTCTTTGCATTTATTTACTCATTGTGTTAAAAATAAAAGAGCTTTCACAGCACGTTTCTATATATATGTCGGTGGCTGATACTGTCAGTGACGGCTGCTGCATTTTATAAATATTTACAACTCATCAAGCATCTGACCACAAATCTGACATTACAATCCTCTATCGCAGTGGTTTCCAACTGGTCCAGAATTATCCTGAGTCATTAGTTCAAGGTCCATACAGTTTAATATATTCAGCGTCATACTGGCGTTTGGCCATGTCGTCGAGTTAGCTGCCCGTTAGTCACTCACTCTACAGCAGGAAACAGCACTTCAGAATAAAATCTCTGTGCCGGATATTCACCGTACTTCAAAATAAAGTGTGTTCTTTACAAACCTGACACATTTGTGAGTCCATTCAGGATGGACCTGTATAATTTAAAATGCATAAACACCAAAAATAACTTACTCTTTAAGCTAGTATATCTTACCCTTCACGCCTGATGACAAAATGTGATGCTGTTAGCTCGCTAGGAGACTAACGTCATTTCACAAGTTTGAAATGTGTTTGTGGTCCCTCCCCTTCTGTTATGTAGGCAACATGGCGACCATTAAAGATTAACAGTGTGCAACCTAACACTGACTGTCATGAGTGCATCATCCAGGTACTCTTAGATCTCTGCTTTTCACCATACTTCTCAGTGTGAACGCACTCACACACTCAAAGTAGTAAGTTTGAGTACAGAAGTTTCTGACTTGAGACACAGCACATATGATCATCGATTGAGAGAAGACGAACTAAAGTATTTGTTGATTTTGTTCTTTTCATGGCATTTATAGACAATAAAAAAATGTAAAATAACACCAGACTTAGGTGTTAAAACACAGATCAACAGACAGTTAAACTAAAGACTGGACACTCAGACACAAACAGTTTTCTATCTAATGGTGTGAAGCAGAGCAGAGCGCCTGAAACATGAAAACACATCAGTGCAAACAGACTTCAATGGAAGATGAACAAAAGAAAAGGTAATTAAATCTTCTGGACATTTCTGAGCAGCATTTTCCAGCTGTCTTGTATGTGTTCAGCTCTGGAAATCCAAACTACTGTTTCTTCTAAACTTTGGCTAAATGAAACATTTCCCATGAAGGAGGGCTCTTCTAATATATTGTTTTGGGTGAACTATTCCTTTAAATGGACTCCAGTCACTGTCTCAGAATAAAGGATTCAATGTTTGTGATCACTCAACTTGTCTGCTGCTGTTTATTTGACGCAGTGTTATTGTCTGAACTGTCCGACTGACCGTCTCGTTCTTCAGGCTCAGAGGAAACATTGTCTGCTTGTGAATCTTCGACCTCCGGCTGGATCTGTTGTGAGTCTGCAGCACTCGCCGCTGCACTTCCATCCTCATTCTCCTCCGTCCCATCACCACCCACCGCTGCCGTCTCCTCTGTGTGCTCTGCCTCGTCCGAGCTCCCGTCCTCCATCACAAACAGGTTCTTCATGGAGTCTGCCACGGCCTCTCTCAACTCGTCCTCCGACTCCTCTAAGTTCCTGATGACAGACAGGAAATTAAAATGGTCTTGTTAAAGTTCAAGAAGCAACAACGACGACCATGAAGGCTTTGGTGAGGAAACGGGCTTGTTGCTGATGAAGTAACAATTAGAGTTTAATGAAAAAGAGGAGTAATGATGACACTAAAATCTGTGTATTAAACAGCTGTATCAGTGAAACATTATCCTCACTGACACTGACATAAATGATGGTGTTATAAATATATCCATAAGAAACTACGAGCTACAGAGAGCAGTGAACAGAGGGGAGTGTTCACTCACGTGTCGTCATCGTCTGACCTCGGCTCCAGACGCTCTTCATCCATCTCCACATCAGAGTCCTCCTCCTCTTCCTCCTCTTTCCTCTCCTCTTTTTCCTCCTCCTCCTCCTCTGCTCTGTCCTCTGAGTCTGACAGTAAACACAGTTCAGTGTGTCAGATGTTTTAGGAGTGACGTTGGGTTTATACTGCTGCCGACTGTCGATCAGTCAGATGTGAGTGTGAGTGAACTCTGACCTGCAGTCACTGAGTCCAGAGTTGATGAAGTGAGTTCAGCCTCAGCGAGAGCGTTCAGCAGGGTGTTGGGGGGGCCGTCCAACCACTGCCTGCGACCTGCTGCCTCCTCACCTGAGGGGGGCGGGGTCAGGAGACATATATGGGTCCCATACACTGCACTATAACAGTCAAGTTTCTCAACAGGATTTCTTCATGAAAGCAAATATTTATCAAAATGTCAATTTCATATTCCTTCAAAGTCAGAGAAGAGAGGAAAGCAGAGAACAGCACAAATCAGAAAAATAGTGTAACTGAAGAAAATAAACTTTAAATTTGTGGTGAAGCTCTGGTTGTTGTAAAAAGTTAAATACAGAGGAGATTCATTGATGAATTAATTAACTAACTAATATATGATTTAAATACGTTGCACTGCACCTTGTTCAGCCTCGACCACTGTGTTGAAGACGGAGTTGACGTCCATGTTGGCAAGTGCGTCCAGCAGAGTCTGAGGAGTCCTCTGGCTCCACCCCCTCCTCACCTCCGACCAATCCCTGAGCTTCAACTCCTCCCCTTCCTGGAAGCTCAGCGTCTGGTTCAGAGGGTCCACTTCCTGTGTGAGGAGTCGGGGACAAGATGAGGTGTGAAGGAGAGGAGAAACAGACAGAGTTACTACTCACCTCCTCCTCCTTTTGTCTTCCATTACCCACCTTCTCCTCATCTTCCTCTCTCTTCTCCTCCTTCTCTGCTTCCTCTTTCACGCCTTCTTCATCTAACCGGATCTCAAACATGATTCCCTTCTGCAGGAATGACAAACACAACAAACAGATGACAAACAAAACTAGAAAATTTCTCATGACATTTTGAGCGCACCTGATAGTGGCACCCTGATGCTAATATTATTGGTACTTAGTGATGATTAATCACCAAATAATATAATCAGAGAGAAAAGACTCTGCCATACGCATTGACGCCTTCAAACGGAGATTTTCCAGACCCACACTCCAAACGGAGGGCTAATGATGGTGAGAGACGCGTGAAAAGAGGCCCACAAATATAAGTTTTTCTTTGTTAATAAAGGTGTAAAAATTGCGACAACCACTGAATTAGTTTGGTTTTATGTTGTTTCAGTGTATTTTAGAACTTTTACTTTTAACAAGCGTGTCAAAAAAGTTGTACGGCCCGTGTCTTTAGTGTGTACCTCCCGTTCACTTACCACCTACTTTACCCCAACTTCCACAGACATACAGTGTAACTCCCACTCACTTCCTGCACGTATTTCCCCGTGTCTTACAGTATAACTAGGCTGCTTCTTACAGCGTACCTCCCGTTCACTTACGTCCTACTTTAAAATAAATATAAAATAATATTTAATAATATATAATATAATATATAATATAAAACAGAACAGAAATGCCAGAAACAAGATTTTAGTATGATGATTTATTTGAGGAAAAGAAAATACTACTAAATTGGGTGGGAAAAAATACAAACCCTTGTAAAATAATCTAGTCACTCTGGTGCAAAAAAACAACAATAAAACATTTACACATCCCTGACAAGCTTATAGACATTTTCTGTGTGCATCAATGAAAACTACAAACTATTGACAATATCTGTGTGCCGGCTTGAAGTGGTGTCCCAATTCTTAGGGGGATATTTCAAGCCCCTAGCCATTGACACTCTGTTGGGAAGGGCAAGGGGTAGGGGTAGGGCTAAAAAAGAGAATTGGGATTCACCCTTAGTGTGACCTCACCTTGTCTTTGTGTTTCCTCTCCAGCGCTTTCCTCTGATCTCTGGTCTCCTCTCTGATCTGCCTCAGAGCTGCTTCTACGTCCTGCAGCAGGAACGAGACACGCTAACAGAGACTTTAGTTTTTAATTGATTGTTGTTCGGGGGATTCAGAGCTTGCTTACTCATGCTTTCAATTAAAAACTTTTTTTAAATTTTATTGAAAAAATTTCAACAGACGTGCTGTTCAACTTTTAATCAAAACAGTGATAATCTTTTTTTTATTTCACAAATATCAGCACGATAATTTACCTCTTATAATGATTTATTATTGGTCTTATTAATAACAAATTAATCCTTCAAGAGTATCTAGAAAGAAGAAGTATAAGAGAAGTATTTTTTTGTGTCGTTGTTAAGAAAAGTGCTGTATAAATAAAGTTTATTATATTATTCATGTACTGCTGGAGTATTAAAGGTCAGAATGGGTGTGACTCAGCTGATTACCTGTACAGGTGAGGCTCTCTGCTCTCTGGGTTTCTCCACCACAAAGGTTCCATGTTTGTGTTGTGGCTGCGGCTGACACATGACAGAATGAACATATGTTAGCGTTTCACTTTGTCGGGTCGGGAATAAATTCACAATGAACAGGGTTGGTGTTTTCTGAGCTGACAGGAGGAGCTGATGACGTCTGTTCTCAGTGTGTTGATTCAGACAGGTTAACATGACAGGAAGAGGAGGATGAAATATGTATTGTGTGTGTTCCTGTTTAATTTAGCTCATCCTTCAGGATGACACTTTAACCACAAAGAAATAACAGGATATGGACAGTAACAGACATTCTGCAGGACAAAGACTACGACCTCACAGGGCGTGGAGGCAAAGTAATACTGTACTGTCTGGCTTTGAAGTGAGCGTCAAGGTGGTGGTGAAAATATTCTAAATTTAGCGTACACTTAAACTGTAGTCGATTATTTAAGAGCCTTAAATACATTTTGCTGCTTCCCCCGTCCACAGCAGTGCACTGTTCAGCTTCTGTTGTGGTAATCCTGCCAGCTTCTCCAAATTGCGGGTGTCAGTCAGCATATGTACAGTAACACACTGACTGTGGAGAAACAGAACTATCCCTATAAGGTCCATCCAGACAAATCCACGTACAGGTCACCTGCCATGCAACAGATTATGAGATACAGAGGGCTGCAGATATTGTCCTCTAAAATCAGACTGCTGCACGAACACCTGAGGTGGAATAAAGTGTTCGTACCTCTACTTCAGCTCTCAGTCTCATCTGTCTCATCTCCTGGTGATACTGCTGTCTGATGGCGTCCAGCTGACGCAGGTACTCCTGTCCACAGAGACACAGTATGAAGTTACAGCAAATATAAATAAAAACATTTTACAGTTGTACTGAAGTACAGTACTTAACTAGATGTATGTAGTAGCTCTCCACCTCGTTAAAGACAACATGTGGTTCAAAACTCTCCTGTGTCCTGTGTGTCCTACCTGCTGTCCCTCCTGCCTCCTGTCTGTGCCTCACCACAGCACAGAATCCACTCTGTTAAAAGTCCACAATGACCTGCTCCTCTCCATCGACTCCGGTAACTGTGCCATCCTCATTCTCCTCGACCTCAGCACAGCATTTGACACAATAGACCACAACATACTAATAGACCGTCTCCACCATGGCTCTGGTATTAATGGCACTGCTCTGAACTGGTTCACATCCTACCTCAACAATAGAAGCTTCTCCATAAACATTGGCTCACTCTCCTCCCCCTCAGCTACCCTCTCCTGTGGTGTCCCACAAGGTTCAATCCTAGGTCCCATTCTCTTCTCCATATACATGCTCCCCCTCGGTCAAATCATTCAAAAACACGACATCTCCTTCCACTGTTATGCTGACGACACCCAGCTTTATCTTCCCCTCAAACCTAATGACCGGTCCAAACTCACCAACATCCACAACTGCATTAATGAAATAAAGTCCTGGATGGCAGCAAACTTCCTTCAACTCAATGACAGTAAATCAGAAATCATTCTCTTCGGCCCCTCTGACAACATCAACCTGATATCCAACAGTCTTGGCAACCTATCCACTTTCATCAAACCTCATGTCAAAAACCTTGGTTTCATTTTTGATTCACCACTCAAGTGTGATAAACAGGTCAATTCAGTAGTTAAAGCCGTTTTTTTCCAACTCTGCACCATTTCAAAACTCAAGCCATTCCTCACATTCAAGGACCTAGAAAAAGTCATCCACACCTTCATTTCCACCCGCCTGGATTACTGCAATTCACTGTACACCGGAATCAATCAATCAATCATCTCTCTCCCACTTACAAATGGTACAAAATGCTGCAGTCAGACTTCTAACAGGAACCCATAAGAGAGACCACATCACCCCCATCCTGGCCTCTCTCCACTGGCTACCTGTTCAATTCAGAATTGATTTTAAACTGCTTCTGTCTGTATATAAATCCCTGAATGGTCTGGCCCCCACCTACCTCACAGAACTTTTAACCCCCTATACTACCTCCAGATCCCTCAGGTCGGCTGACCTAGGGCTCCTAGTGGTATGACGCTCCAATTTTAAACACAGGGGTGACTGTGCCTTTGCGGTCGCAGCCTCCAGACTCTGGAATAGCATCCCCCCTTCTATCAGATTTGCCCCTTCCACTGACTCATTTAAATCTAGGCTCAAAACATACCTCTTCTCAAAAGCATTTGTATCCCTCTGACATGATATTTTAATCTCCTACTCTGTGCTTATTTGTGCCTTGATTTATGTATTTATGTATGTTGCTGCTATGACTCTGGTTTTTGTGTTATTGTGTTTCTTCTGTATTTTTTCATTTTTTATTTTTTATATGTTCAGCACTTTGGTCAACGTGAGTTGTTTTTTAAAATGTGCTTTACTTCTCCCTCCTGCCTCCTGTCCTGAGGTGTGTGTCGGTGTGTGTCCTACCTGCTTTCCCTCCTGACTCCTGTCCTGAGGTGTGTGTTGGTGTGTGTCCTACCTGCTGTCCATCCTGCCTCCTGTGTTGGTGTGTGTCCTACCTGCTGTCCATACTGCCTCCTGTCCTGAGGTGTGTGTTGGTGTTCAGATGGTCTCACTTCCTGCTCCTGACCTCCAGGCTTCCTGTTACGTTCAGCTGTAGACGGACGCAAACCCTGGCGATCAAAGAGGAAAGGTCAAAGGTTACAGCTGTGTTGGAGCTTGGCATGATGGGAAATTACCACCAACACCAAGAGTTTATTTGTTTTTATTTTATTTTATCTGCACGTTCAAATTCTCCACAGTGACTTTTAACGTCTCTTTTTAATGCTGCAGTCTTGTGATCACTGCTGTCATGTGTCAGTTAGTTTTCTCCTTCACAGGTTTCTGAATGTTACTCTGAGTGTGAACAGTAAGTTTACTTCCTGTTGTGGTTTTGTGCGACCCCAATGATGTTTACAGGTTTGAGTCATGATCCTGTGAACAAACCGACATTAAAATACCTGCTGATTTAACAAGAGCAACCTCCAACAACAAAATGTCTTCCGTCTTCTCTCTCAATCCAGACATGATGGATTTATTCTTCAAACACATTTATGACTTGTCTTATTACATGTGCTGAGTTAAAGTGTTCCTACAGTGTGGGATTTATCTAAACTAAGGCTAAGATCACAGATCTGATAATTCAGTGATCAGAAACGTGTTGCAGACTCAGTATGTGTGAGATGGTGAAGCTGCTGAGCTTCTTCCTACCAGCTGTTTCTCTGCTCTCAGTTTGTACAGGTTGGCCTCGTGTCTCCTCTGCATGTATTCATTACGAGCTGCAGCCACACTGACAGATACAAACAGAGACGTGGTTAAAATTGTTATTGACATACTGTTCTTGAACTCCATGATGACAATAAATCAGAAATTAATATATTGGGAAAACACTTAAAGGTCCAGTGTGTAAGATTTAAGGAGATTCAGTGGCGTAAGTTTTTAAGGGTGGCTAAAATACGTTCTGTTGCTGACCCCTCCGCAGCAGTACATTGCTTAACTACCATGTCAGACTCCCGCCTGTTTCTCCAAACTGGAGGCGTGCTGACTGACATCTACTGTAAATAATATACTGTCTATGGATAAGTACCTCACACGACCCCACTTGAAAAAATCTGAACCATCTCTTTAAGACTGGAAACAAGGGGAAACAGATGCTGGTAGGCTTTTTGTTTTACTTTGGCCAGACTAGCTGTTTACCTCATTTTCAGCCTTTAAGCTAAGCAAAGCTAACATCTCCTCTTATCATTGGATATAAGTATGGTAGCGATCCAGCAAGAAAACAAAATCAAAAAACAAAAAAACTGTTAAACTTTACTTTTAAATCAAACAAATGAACAGCAGCAGTTAGCTGCTAGCTGCAGGTAGACTGGTGGGCAATGAGTTTGCTGGGAAGATAAAAATGAGACTCAGCTATCCAACTATCATGATGATATCCTCGTATATGTAGCTCTGAAACAATTATGAAAATTAATCAGACGACTAATCCATAAATTTAGTCATTTTTAGCCAAATATTACATAATTCCCACCTCTCAAAAATGAAGAATTTCTGTTTTTTCTTTCTTTTACATCATCACGAATTGAAGATCTTTGAGTTTTGGAGCGTCGATCAAACAAAACAAGCACACTGAAGATGTAACTTTAAGTTCTGAGAAATTGGGAAAGACGTTTGCAGTGTTGTAGTACTCGAGATCGGAATCGAGGGTATTTTTACTTGGTCTTGTCTTGTTCTCGGACTGGGCGGACTCAGGTTTTTTGAACGAGACCGGTCGAGACCACCACTGATGCTTTTTGTCTGTGCTTTACTGAGAAGAGTGAAAAAGACCATCTCAAAAACAGCTAATAACTTCAAATCATTGGTAGCATAAAGATTTCCCCCAGCTGCAGCTGCTATCTGCCCGGTGTCAGTGTGAGTGACTGACATGCCCCCTGCACACAGAGGATGGAGACGGCAGGAGGAGAGGCTGTGTGAACTCTAAGATTTGTTTCATTGTGCTCTGCAACAACAGAGCAGATATTGTTTTTGTTGTTATATTTATTTAAAAGCAAACTTAAATTTAAAAAAACTCACATTTTGATGTTTTGTTATGATTTTCCTTTGATATGGTCTTGGTCTTGTCTCGGTCTCGACCTCTAAATGTCTTGGTCTTGTCTCGGTCTCGGTACTCTCTGGTCTCGGTAATGTCTTGGTCTCGGTTGGTGCGGTCTTGACTACAACACTAGACGTTTGTCACTACTTTCTGACGAGTAGTTTCTTAAGATAAAAAATAATCCACAGATGAATATATAATGAAAACAATCATTAGTTGCAGGTCACTCACATCATGTACGGTTCCACAGCATGGTCTTCACATCGTTCCTTCTCTCTCTCCTGAGGAGGAGGTGGAGGAGGAGTAGGAGGAGGAGGAGGAGGAGGAAGGACGTCCTCCTTCTTCCTCCTCTGGAGGGCGTCCAGCTGGGCGTAGTAGTGCTTGTACTGGCTGACCGGCTGCTGTCCATTAAACCTGCATCAGGATTAGCTTTAGGTCAAAGTCCGAATGTAAAGGTCATCATGACGTCACTGATGACTGAGGAAGACTTTCATTCATGGAGTGAAGAGGCTGAATATGTGAGACGGTCTGAATGTGACTCACCTCTGGTTCTGCAGCGCTGCAGCTTCTCTGTCTGCAGCTCTGTGACAAAAAGGCTGAGATCATAAATAAATGGATCAGATCAATAATCATAATTTCACACACTTGGCAGCTTAGTTTTGTACAAGAGCTTACATTTATGATTTCAGCTGTTCCTGAACGTCTCTGCAGCACACTGTACACACTTAAAGTTCCTAATTTCTCAATTAAATCAAGACTTATTGACAAACTCAATAACCTTAAACATTAACTGCTAGCTTAAAGGATTTTGGAGAGATTTATGAATGAGCTGTGACCTGATGCACCCTCTGATGATATCTGAGAAATAAGAATTCTTTCAAATTTTGGGAAATACATTTTTTTTAAGAGTCTGTTTACTTAATGACCACGGCAGTAGTCATGTGACAGGACTGCACGTGGCCAAAGGACAGTTAGTTCCACAGAGGAAAGTAAAATAAGATGAAATCAAGATAAATTTTTGTTAAATCAATAATATGCAGCTCATCTTTCCTTTAAATGTACAGATAATTAGAAAAACAACATTTTATATTGTGTACTTGGTGTGTATTCAGATATCAGCAAGCTAACATAGCCTGGGATTTTTTTTAAATTGTGACAGAATGTTATTTCCATCACTTTGTTTACTGTGATGAAAAAGACATATGGTCATGAAAATGCCAATGGCAGTGTGCTATTACCAAAATATTGTGTCAATAAATTTCTCTTAATATGTGTTTGACTGTCTAGAAATGTTCAGACCGAAATGGATCATAGTTGGAAAGGTGAGAGGCAGGGTTCACTCTGGACAGGTCTCCAGACTATCACAGGTCTGACACATAGAGACAGACAACCATTCACGCTCACATTCACACCTACGGACAATTTAGAGTCACCAGTTAACCTGCATGTCTTTGGACTGTGGGAGGAAGCTGGAGCACCTGGAGGAAACCCACGCTGACACAGGGAGAACATGCAGACTCCACACAGAAGGGCTCCTCCACCCTGGGGTTTGAACCAGGTACCCTCTTGCTGTGAGGCGTCAGTGCTAACCACTGCACCAGTACCATATACACTTAAACATGGGAAAAATACAGCAACCAGAGGGTCCGAATCCTGGACTGTGTTTGTATATATGGTACTTGTGGTGTTTGACTCTTATTATTATTATTACTTTGTAGGGGGCAGGGCTGTAGACTCTGAGTGGGACCCTCCAGTCTGGTTTAGCAGGAAGTCTCTTTGCAGCAGCTCCAGGTCTCTCTGCTGCTCCAAACTTCTGCTTCTTCTCTGGAGAAAAGACGAGGCTCAAGTTAGAACAACCAAAAATAATCAGAGTCACTTTGTCTCCTGTCAGTGCACAGGTACTTTTACTTTTGAATTTCCACTACTTTCGCTTTCTGCTCCTTCCTGTCCAGTGATAACCACGTATCTCCAGATGTGTTGATGTTGAATGTTTGCGATAAACTGAAGGATGAAGTCTTCCTCTATCTGCTGCTAAATAAACTCTTTAAAACTCTTGGACCAGCTGGAAAAATCTGTTGTCACAAAGCTGAAAACAGGCTCTCTTTCTGACTTTTTACAGACACGTGGTTCTCACAGGACAGCCACGCTACAAACATGTGATGATCTTATAGAATCTGAGGCATCGCTGTAGATAAACTACCCAACAGTATGTAAAGGAGTTCAAATGAGCACAACCTGAAACATATACAGCAGGAAAATGACACATTCATGCAGCAGGAAAAGGTTTTAAATGCAGTGCTGTTACTTTTACTGGAGTAAAGGCTGCTGTATAAATACTTGACATGTGCACCCATAGGTGGCATGAGTTTCCTGTTTACTTTTGCTCTTCCTGCTCGTGTTCTTCTGTCTGAAACAGTTTAAAAATGCCTCAAAGTTTGGATGAACTCATTTGAGTTTATTGTTCAGAGGAATAAAAGAGATGCAGAACATGTGATCTGTCAGAGCAGAGAGAGATGAAGATAAATGAGTTACGTAACCATTGTTAAGCAGCAGACACTCCCTCAATGATTCAAGACTTTGTGTTCTGATGTTACCAAAACACAAAGTGTGCCAGAGCGTGACGCCATCGGCCGGTCCAATCAGGACTCAGCGATACGACCGAGGATGGAGTCAGTTTCCCTGTAGTTTATCACAAGTGTTGAAAAATGGCAGCTGGAGCGGAGCCAGCAGCGACACTGTGGGATCAGGCTGGTGTAGGGTCACTGAACGACCACCAGGTGGCGCCACAATCCACGTTCAACACATCTGATCAGACCTGAGACCAGTTGAAGGTTCAGTTTCTGTCTCTGCTGCTGTTTCAATGTGTGTGTGGTGTTACCTGCTGCTGCTGCTGCTGCTGCTGTGGGTTTAGCAGCCTGAGACGCTGCCGATCTGTTTCGATGCAGCACCGTGTGGCTGAACTCCTCCTGCATCACCTGCACACACAGGAAACCACACACACACACACACACACGCGTACACACACACCAGAGTTATTCTAGTCTTGTATGTTTCATTAGTTTTTCTTTCTATTTTGCTTTTAATTTATGTTTTCAGTTTAGTTTTTGTTAGTTTCATTATTAGTTTAGTCTGTTTTTATCTCAATACATGGAGGGTTTGTCAGAAGAAGGAACTAAGAAGTTCAGAGAAGGTGTTACAACACAAACACAACATTTTGTGAGGGCAGTTGAGTCACAGACATGTAGACAACCCAGTCTGAGTGCACCAACACCTCCTCATGTTGCTGTGTTGACCAATGTCACCAAATTGACAAACTAAAACTAAAAACATCTCCAATATCCTGTGCAGTATTTATCGCCTCTTCAATGTATATACTCAACATACAGTGCACATAACTGTACATATTTCTTATGTTACTCTCATTCTATTCTTGTTTTATTCTATTGATGTATATATTGTAGTTACATTTTCACACTCACAGCTTCAGCACAGTGATGATATATATTCTATTTCAATATTTGAATTTATCGTATCTTAAGTAGTGGTGTTAGAAACAGTAGCATAATGCACATTTTATTTTCATTTTAAAATAAAACTGAATTGAATTCCCCCCCTGGGGGATCAATAAAGTATATCTTATCTTAATGCACATTTCATATCAACTTTACTTTATTTACTGCTTTATATTTCTATTTTAATTCATTCTTACTTCTTATAATTCTCTATTCTTTACATTGGAGCGACTGTAAAGGATCATAATTTCCCCTCTGGGATAAATAGAGTTTTTCTGATTCTGATATATTTTTATCTTATTGTAGTTTTGTAAGTAAACAATATTGTCTCAGTTAGTCTAGTTTTTATTTTTATTTCAGTGAACTACACTGTTTTTTCACAACTAGTTTTATTTTTAATAAACTATAATAACCTTGACACATACACATGTTTATAAATCTATACTTCTGAGGAACCCTTATTTATGGAGACAAATACTAGCCACAGAGATTTGAATACTGAAAGCAGCTGAAAACTAAATGTAGACATTTAAACACGATACTGCCCTAAATGTTTCTAATATTTTGTCCATGTATACACGGGGGGGGGGGGGGGGGGGGGGGGGGGGGGGGGGCAATATAATGGAGCACAGTTCGACTTTACCACGAACAGTGAGCTCAGTATTCATCGTACAGTTGAATTAACACCTCTTGCAAAGTGCCAACAAAAACTGGCTTACAATCTTCTTAAATGTAGAACTCAAAGGTTCAGTGCGTAGGATTTAGGGGGATATACTGTCAGAAATATAATCAGTATGTTTTCTTTAGTGTATAATCACCTGAAAATGAGAAGTGTGCTTTCTTTCCCTGAGCTGTTTATATCTATGTAGGGAGCTCTTCCTTGACTATAGAGATCACCATGTTGCACTGTCATGTTTGTACAGTAGCCCAGAACGGACAAACCAAACACTGATTCTAGAGAGGGACCTTCATGTTTTCATGTCAGCCACTGTGGTTAGCAGCCCCTATGTGTCAAGAAACACTGGAAAAGCACCAGATTTTTTAAGGTGAAACTGCTTTATTCAGTGTTTTTCTGGTTTAAATCAGCTGGTCTGTTTGTTTTGGAGAGGAAGAGACTGTGGGTAATTCAACTCCCAGGAAAAAACTCCTCAACATCTGGTGGATCTTAAGTAATCAGAGTAAAAAGGTGAGCACAGATAAGCAGGTGCTTTAAGAGCTGTCCATCTCAGACGTGCCAAACAGCATCAGAGAAACACTGATTTGTTACATTAAACTGTTTTATTCAGTGTTTCTACCAGTTTAAATTATCTGGTCTGTTTGTTTTAGAGAGATAAACAGTGACCTTTTCTGTGGCGTTGGCATTTTAAATCTGATGCCTGATGCACCACTGGAGCATCAACTGAGTGGCGTCCGTATCACTTTCAGTGCGTCTGTGCTGTTAAGCCTGGTGGATTTCCATGAGACTTCTCACTGTGTTGACAATTTAATTAACACGAGTGAATCAGATTCGTTACCTGTGGGTCCAGGTGTTTGCTTATGTGCTTCTCCAGGAAGGGACGCCTGAGGACAGAGCTGACCGAGGGACGGTCCCGAGGGTTGACCTAAAAAAACAGTGTATGTGTGTGTTGAATAAACGTGAACACTGAATTTCATAATAATTCAATCAATTAATGATTATTTGTACAGCCCAAAAATAAACCTCATCAACAACAGAGTCACTTACTGACTGTATAATGACACAGGTAGTGATGAGTATCATGGCTACTTTACATGTAACACACTGTCAGACACTTTGTATACATTGACTAACAGCAGTGGGGTGGTTGTTCAGAGGTTATCTGGTGGATGTGAGGGATCTGTTCACTGACTGGTTCCTGTAAACATGTGAATGATGTACTTCCACTGGCAGCCTGTTTTATCTGCCTGACTGTCTGCAGCAGACAATAGGAGCTTCCTAACATGCAGCTCAGGCTGATATCCTGAGCAGCTGCTCTAACAGTTTCCTGACATTATATCATTTTCACTTTCCTCTTTAGAAATACTTGTTTTGCAGTTTGAACTCAGAGAACTTTAAAGGAACACCTCAGACGTCTGTAAAATATAAAAAATCTGTCTGGAATATGTCAGACGACCCCTACGCCGGGTTCAGACTACATGATAACAGCCTGACGCGTCGTACAGTGAGTGTCAGAAGCGATGATCCATTGTTTTATCTCGTGTAGTGTGTCATAGTAGACGACAACCGATGCTGCGTCTGAGACATCTCATGACGTCCCGACAGAAAGTCTAGCATGTTTTATTTCTATTTGTCGTTCACGACTTCTCCCGTCACAGCCGTCACTTTGAACAATAGAAAGACAGAGCGATCTGCTGCCGTGGAAACTGTAAGGCAACAACAGTCCAGCCTATTTGATATTTCCTGTAGGGATGTTACCACACAGAGTAAAAAGGGAAAATAATGATGTGAAACAGCTGAGGCACTTCATCAACCTGCTGAGTACTGCCATTAGCATCAGGCTAGCAAAGAAAACTAACTCTTCATAAGGGAGGATATAAAGAAATGAAATTCACAGATACGGTGTGGGCTTTTACTCAACACAACTGCAGAGGCTACCAGCTTAATTTGAAACACACTACATTAGAAACCGCCGTTATTTCTCATTTCCCCTGTATTTTATATTTTCATTTTTAATCCGCTCCTGTTTGCCCTGTTAAATTTGATGCATCGCACCGTCGTTTCAAACTCAGCATTTCCTGTATCCGTTAAAATTAAAAGCCCATTATTGTTTCATTGGAGAGAATCCTCTCATGTTATAAAAAAGGCTTTTGTTGTGAAACATTTACAGAAACTTGTGGTGGAGGATTCACTGACTGTCATAGTTTTCATGCGGTACTTCAAATGTAGCTCCGCCCATCTGGTGGCACTTTTTACACTACTACAAAAACAGTTCGGCTGGGACATGCACAGACACAGTGACTGACGTAATAATAATAATAATAATAAAAATATGACAGGAATAATCCCGTAACATCACGCACATTGTGACAGATGACCAGCGTTGATTGGTTGTGGATCAACATGTAGTCTGTCACGGCAAGATTTTATGACTTCATAATCACCTAATCTGACATACAAACAAATATGTTGTGTAGTCTGAACCCAGCACTAGATACACCAGCAACCTCTGACACTTCTCTGATATCCACACACTGTAAAGAAAAATAAATAAAGAGTGTCTGACCTTGAAGAGCTGGGTGACCAGCAGGCGAAGGTCGTAGGAGTAGTGGCTGGGCACTGGGTTGTAGCGCCCCCTGCAGATTTTACTGACCAGCTGCCGCAGACTGCTGCCCTCAAACTGCAGGTAGACAGAATATAAGTCCTGCACTGAAACCTTTACTTAAAGGGTAAGTTTGGTATCCTTCAACCTGGCTCCTATTTTCCATGTTTTTGTGTCTAAGTGACCGATGGGAACAACATTGTTTGAAACTGGTCCAGTATTAAGAAAAAGACAGTGCTGCAGCTGGCAGCTGTGAAACAGGATGGCCACACCATCAGTGTTCGTCCACTAAAAGTGTTTGTTTTGTCACAGAGAGGCTCAGATTGTTATTTTTAGTGTCTCACAACATCATAGAGATGTTCCCCTACAGATAAAGACCTTTTGGTTAATGAGTAAGATCCTTTTTGTTTCACCAGACACAGCGCCTAAATCACCCACCAGACTCCATTTGGATATACAGTAATTTTATCATCATAAAACACACTTCATTCAAAGTTGACAAAAAACAAAACAAAACTAAAAAAACTTCAATTCCCATGATTAATATCCCATTAAGAGAAGTCATCTCAGCTTAACAGTAATTTAAGAGCACTGGGTGCATTTTCATGGTCATGAATAACCTGTTTATGATCGGGTTTTTGGAGAACCCCGTTTATGTGTTTGAGCGTGTTAACCTATGTTCCGTTCATGAGAAACCCAAATATGCTAGCTGGAGTACTCTGAAAGAAACTGGGGAATATGGATGACCATATTTCTCCATGCTCATGTAAACGCCATATCCGGAATATGACTGTAACTGGGATAAGCTTTATGGTAAATGGACTGCACTTGTATGGCGCCTTTCTAGTCTTAAGACCACTCAAAATGCTTTTACACTACGTCACATTCACCCATTTACACACTGGTGGCTGAGGCTACCATGTATGGTGCCACCTGCTACTCAGTAACCACCCACAAGCTCTCACACTGATGGAACAGCCATCAGGAGCAACTGGGGATTCAGTGTCTTGGATACTTTGACATGCGGAGCCGGGGTTTCAAACCACCGATTCTCTGATTAGAGGACAAACCACGAACAGGTTATTACCTCCACCAAGATGGTTATGTTTTCGCCGGCGTTGGTCTGTTTGTCTGCAAAATAACTCGGAAAGTTCTTAACGGATTTTGATGAAATTTTCAGGAAAGGTTGATAATGGGACAAGGAACAGATGATAAAATGTTGGTGGTGATCGGTTGAAGTGAAGTGGATATAATAATAAAATGGCGGGAAATCTGAGCTGCTTGGCGGAGGTCTGCGCTCTCCGAGTGCTCTAGTTCATACCTATATTATTGCACTCATGAAGTTTGCTACAAAGCTAATGTTAGCATTAGCTCAGTGTTAGCAAAGCCTTGGAGACTCCAGCTGTGTGTGTGTGTGTGTGTGTGTGTGCTGGGTGTGGTGCAGCTCACTGGATGCCTCAGGGTGCAGAGTTCATACAGGACGCAGCCCAGAGACCAGATATCCCTGCAGAGAGGACACACACACACACACACACACACACACACACATGAAGGGGAAGTTAAATACAATCTGACAATAATTTAACTGTAATAATTTCACAGACAAACTCCCTGATGTTGTGACATCACCTCCAGATGTCTTCTCAGCTCTGTGTTGAAACAGAATCGGGGAGTGTTTTCATGACGTCACCATGAAGCAGCTTCTTCGCTGCATCTTGTGTAACTCAACAAATGTCTTGTTAGAACATGATTTTGGGGCAAGGCTGAACATTACCCTCTGTCCCCCTGAGCTAAACTCATAAACACACCACAAACTAAACCATAATGTCAAAACCCAGAGCTGGGAGGCGTCCAGTCAGAGCGCAGATCCCTACAGAAACATCTCATAAAAAAAGTTTTGCTTCTGGACCCATACAACAGATTTTGGCACGGAGCCTTATTGGCAGGGAAGCAAGTATGTGCATGTGTGCTGTTGTATTTCTGTCTTTGTGAGGTCCGGCTGAAGTTTTAGAGTTTGAGAATCAAATTAAAGACTTTTTTTTTAATTCTTCAAAGCATAGTTTGAGAGTTTAGACTTGGTTTGAGGGGAACGTTCAGACTCAGGTTGCGGTGGAGGTTAGAGGTGGGGGCTCAGGCATCATGTATGATGTGAATAAGAGTCTCACAAGTACAGCAGTGTGAGCACGTCTGTGTGAGTGTGGGAAAGTGGAAGTAACTTTGACCTCGACTGTATCAAAACAAGAGAGCAGAGAACAGAGCAGTGATCTGTCTCAACACGCAGAAAGCGAAAGAGAGGGCAGAGGATGATAATCAGTGTGCGTGTGTGTGTTTGCTGCACGTCTGAGCTCCCTGTCAGCGACTGTATCTGTGTGTGTGTGTGTGTGTGTGTACATGTTGTTGCAATGAGTGCGTGTACAGGACCATGTGCTCTTATCTCAACCATAAAAATAAAAAAGAGGAAGCTCCTCTCTGCACACAGGGTCAGAGTTCACGTTGACCTTGGTCAGCTCTCTAAGCCCCTCCCCCAAGCAGTAACTGTCCAATCATAGCTCAGACACAATCACCAGACACAGCAGGCGGTGTTGAAGCAGTGTGTATGGTGCTGCTGTCACAGAGATATTCTTCATTCAGGCTTCCTTTTCTAACTAAAAACACTTGAGCAAAAGTGTGAGGAAAGGCGCATGAATGTTCCTATCTAGAGCTGGTGTTTGGTTTGTCCATTCTAGGCTGCTGTAGAAACATTAATTTAACATTTCAGGAGGCAAATAAAATCAGACAGATAAAAAAATACAAAAATAAAATGGAAAGAACTACCCAACAATAATTAGATAAAATCACTAATAATAAAACAGATAACACATGTTGGAAACAACTCTGTTACGACTTCTTTTTCGTAATTAATGCCAGCACACCATTTTGCTTCTAAGCTCCAGGAGCACATCATAAAGTACGTACAGAGAGACATCCTCTGTGTAAAGGGTGGCCCTGGATACTATCAGAGTTCAGGCTGACGTCAGCAGCTCTGACCTGATCTTTATTGTGTTCAGGAAAGTGAACATTCCTTACAGCTCCAGCTAACATCACCTGAGACAGCTACATTTGGCAAACAGATCAGTATATTAAATCAGAATAAAATATCTCATGTCTCAAATGTCTCGTTTTCAATCTTAAATCAGGAGCACTACGTCTACTGCAGTATAAGATCACTGCTGTTTCTTTCTGTACATGTCTTCCACACTGATCATTCACTGTTGTTTTTCTGCTGCAGTTAAATAAACGGTCACTCTGTTTACGAAAATGATTTCTGTGGTTAATTTCAGCTTGTTCTGTTTCCAGATGGGTGCGACCAGTGGTAATATATAATGACGACTATCAGAGTCTTAATCAGTCAGAATTAATCTTCTCTTTGTTTCTGTAGTTGACAGTTTACAGGATCCTCCCTGAACTGACCAGAGGAGACTGACTCCACCCCGCTGGGACTCACTACACATCGAAACAAACAACCTGTACCATCTACACCACAGACTGTATTAATACTAGACACTGAGGGATGGAAGATAATTGTACTATAATAGTTTTGGCAGTTAATATCCAGTCTGGATGACTTTACCTGCATTAGGTGCAATTACCTGCCTCTTATTATTCATTCATTCATTCATTCATTCATCTTCTAACCGCTTCATCCTCTTGAGGGTCGCGGGGGGGCTGGAACCTATCCCAGCTGACATCGGCGAGAGGCAGGGTACACCCTGGACAGGTTGCCAGACTATTGCAGGGCTGACACATAGAGACAAACAACCATTCACGCTCACATTCACACCTACGGACAATTTAGAGTCACCAATTAACCTAGTCCCCAATCTGCATGTCTTTGGACTGTGGGAGGAAGCCTGAGTGAGAGCCGGAGAGAACCCACGCTGACATGGGGAGAACATGCAAACTCTGCACAGAAGGGCTCCCACGCCCGGGATCGAACCGGCAACCCTCTTGCTGTGAGGCGAGAGTGCTAACCACCACACCACCGTGCCGCCCGCCTCTTATTATTGATTATTATTATTATTGATTGTTACAGCTGTAGCTTTTAAAAATTTCATATGTCCTTTCTGTTTATGTAACAGGCTAAACATTGTATTTATTTCAGTCAAGTCTGACTTTTTCTTGTTAGTCTGTATATGCACATACGTCTTGTTGTTGTAGGGTCGATTCTCGCAGATCTCTGGGGAGAGGTAGTACGGAGTCCCAACACAGGTCCTCGCCAGCTCCATGGTGCTGCACACACACAGGTCACACACACACACACACACACACACACACACACACACACACACACTCAGTCAGGGTTTTACATGTAACGTCACATAAACATGTAAAATCACTCCTTCTCTTTATACCAGATATCAACAGACACCTTCCGAACATGCCTCCAAACACCCACAGTCACTGTTAGTGCACAATCATACATTTATCAGTGTTAATATGAGACTTTTAAACTCAGATTTTTTGAGTGAGCTGAAAGAGGATATGAGTAGAAAACTGCAAAAACTGAAATATATATATATTTCTTTCTTTTTTCTTTAAATCCAGAACTGAGCACACTTTAATACCTGTTTATTTATCACAAGTAACATTGTCATCATGATACTCAAGAAGGTTAAAGTATATTAAACACCTTCCGTATATTGTGCAGCTCTATTTAAAACCTTTCTGTGCTCAGATAAAAACATCTTTCCTGGCTGAATAACATCAAACGGCAGTCTGGATCAGATCAGGCTCTATAAAGCAGATCCCAGTCAGTTAAGAAATGTTTAGACCGGCCCTGATACCAATTCTCATTTTCGGATAAACACATACAACTGATTTTTCACCCTCTGGACTTTTCTCTCATCTTTGACTTTTAGTAAAATATTGATCATTTGAACAGCTACTGGAATAAAATTATGTGGAAATGTATGAGCAGAAATGTCTCTGTGGTTGAACTGATGACAACTCAGAGACATCTGAGACGTGATAAGGAGCCCAGATTAGATGTTGCTTCAGTGTGAGGGGTCGTAAGCATAACAGGTTGGAAACACTGGTTTAATATTTAATATTTATTACCAACTGTAAGCCTCTAACTCATCACTGTATCCTGTTTGCTCGGTTTCATAGACTTTTTCATCGGTATTCTCTTGTTTACAGAGCTGCTCTTGACCTACTTCAGCATATTTATGTGTGTACATTAAGCAGAAAATTGAGGATGGCTGCTCTCTGTTCACAGAACTTGTTTTTATTGTCTGTACCCAGGGTACATACAGAGTTTGGCAAGCGTGCATTTATGTCTGCTGCTCCTCATATGTGGAATCCTCTGCAGAAGGACGTAAAGTTGCACTCAGTGGTTCCTCTCGGCTGTTTCAAAACACTGCTGCAGGACTTTTGTACACAGTCTTCTATATGCCAATGTCAGGGTGTATCGTAGCTGGTTTTTGTCATCATGTGTAGTTGCCCTTTTTGTGTTTTTATGGTTCACCTATAGCATATATTAACATACTTTCGTCTTTTCTTTGTAGTGTTCTTACTTTGTGTTTTATTTTGCTTGTTTTAGAGCTTTCCATTTTTATTCTGTATTTTTGTTCTATGTTGTCTGTCCGTAACTTTATGTTGCTGCCTGTCTTGACCAGGACACTCTTGAAAACAGATTTTTAATCTCACGAGGTTTTGCTGGTTAAATAAATTGATTTTATTTTATCATATAGTTTCATTGTGTGTTTTTTTAATCTTAATCTTAAAGGTAAACCAGTTAACTTCAGCTGTTGGATACATGTTGTGGAGCAGAAATATAAAGTAACATAAAAGGAATACGCTCATATAAAGTACATCACAACTGTACTATCTTTTCTTATTGATCAAGAAACACTTAAAAGGACCTGTGTACTCAGTATTTACAGGACACAAATCAGATCTGTGGAGTTCTGCAGGCCGACCATTATTTCCACAACATATGTGTTTACATGTCCCGGTCGACAGTTTATGGAATGATAATGACTTGTTCGGAGGTTTTCCATGTGTTACAGAGCACTCAGTGATTAACAGCTGCCCTCTGTGTATGTGTGTGTGTGTGTGTGTGTGTGTGTGTGTGTGTGTGTGTGAAGATGACACTGACTTACTTATTCAACATTCTTGCGATTCCAAAGTCCCCTAGCTTTGCTTTCAACCCTCCATTGGTGAGGAAGATATTCTGCAGCAGAGGGAGAGCAGGAATGAAAGCACGTCTGTGTTCAGCAGGAAAACAGTGACTGTGCATGTTTCCTCTGTGTGTGTGTGTGTGTGTGTGTGTGTTAGGAAACAGATATGATTGATGAAAGATAGTGATGGTTGTGAACAGAGATGCAGTTATTCTGGGAGTTGGCACACAGCGAGCTCTTTGTTGAGAAGCTCTGGACGGTTCAGCCTCACAATCCTCTGGACGCTGTAATAACACTCGTTAATTAAAAAGTTAAACCTCGGGCTCTGTGGGTGATGTTGTATACATGTACAAGTTGTACCAGGAATGCATGATGTACTGTATGCTGCATCAGCCTCATAACCCAGTTAAAGTCACAGTCCGCCCAAAATCTTGGCCTGAGAGGAAGCTGTGAAAAGCTTCTAACAGCAGCTGTGATCAGGTCAAATCCAGGTCTCCAAACTTTATTTATACAGCTGACTGCGCACAGACAGATACATAACTTTACACCTTATAAGAAGTTTTTCTTATATTCTCCTCATAAACTTTTCTCTGTGAGGTTTATGAGTGTTTCAAGTCAGATTCATCAAACTGTCTTAACAGCACAAATTTTTTGTAAATCGCTTGTTTTAATTTGATGAAACTCCGCAAAATAGTCAGTTTAATTCACAAGAATAAAGTCCTTCTGACGTAAATCAACAGACAAGTTTAGATTCTACATATTTATTATTGTGCCTCTAACAATTTATATATTTTCTAAAGATTTTTCTTTTGGGCTTTTTGCTTTTTTAGATACGACAGTCTAAGTGTGAGAGGGGCAGCGAGAGAGGGGATGACAAGCAATATTTTTTTCGTACAAAACAAAGTTTGAAGACATCACTTTGGACTCTGGGAACTTTTATCTCAGTATTTTTCACTATTTTCTGACATTTTATAGAGTAAATGATAACTATTAATCATAAAAGTAACTGACTTATTAAATGATGAAAATAATTGTTAGTTGCAGCCCTGAACTGTTGATCAGAGGAGTTAGAGCCACAGACTTCAGTGTTTCTCAGAGTAAACTGACAGTTTTCCCTGACAGTGTGTTGAGTTGGCTCAGAAAGTGGAAGCAGTGGATGTGTGAGTGTGTTCCCTTCCACACACCTGAGCTTTGATGTCTCTGTGGAGGATCTTCCTGTCGTGGATGTGTTTGAGTCCGAGGCAGATCTGCACGAACCAGTCCACGACCTGAGACACACAGCTCAGTGTTACCCCGTCACTGTGTGTGTAATTATTAGATTCATTGAAACCAAATGACGTCACCTCTCCACCTCACCTGCTGCTCTGTGAAGAAGACTCCTCTCTGCATGTTGATCTTCTTCATCAGATCTCCTCCGTCACAGAACTCCATCACTATGTACAGGCTGCCCCTCTCTACACACACACACACACACACACACACACACACACACACACACACACGCACAGTATACCATATACTGTACAATGATCACATGTATATGGAGTCACCCTCACCTTGAAATGAGCTGATGAAGGTGACGATGTTTGGGTGTTTCATCTTCGACAGCAGCGTCACTTCTTTCTTGGACCCTTCCTTTTCCCGTGCTGACATCTGAGCAGTGAACACACCTTTAACTTATAATCAATCAAACACAGACAGACACCAACTGTGGTTTTAAAACATTGGTGAGTAACAAGCTGAAGCCGTACCTTTCTGAGGTTGATCTGTTTGACGACACACTGTCTGTCTCCACCTCCCCCTCTGTCCTGAACCAGGAAGGCTTTCCCAAACGCACCCTCTCCGATCTGACGGATGACCTCATAGTTGTTCATAACACCTGCAACAAGAAAAATAATAAAGTTTCAGCACAAAGAAATAATAATACATTTTATTCATAGGCACCTTTCACAACACTCAAGGTCACCATACAGGCAAAGATAGAGAAAATTACACCAGATTTAAAATGTCAACAAGGTGAGGAATAAAGTAACATAAAATAAATGGACCAGCTGAAGTTTGTGGATGGACTTGAGAGGGAGACCAAAAAGGAGTGAGTTACAGTAATCAGTAATCAATACATGATGTAACAGGGTGTGAATAAAAATGGCAGTACAGTGCTGTGTGAGGGATGGGCGAAGGTGGTTAATATTGCGTAGATGGAAGTAGGCAGACCGAGCGACATTATTGATGTGAGCTTGGAATGATAGAATGCTGTCGAGGGTGACACCCAGACTCTGAGGAGTTATCAATATCAAGTGTGAAACTGTCCATTTTTGCTAAGGTGGATGTGGTGCCAGTGAGACGTAATTCATTTTTATCACTGTTAAATTGAGGAAGTTGCAGGAGAACCAGGATTTGATTTCCTGAAGGCAGTCAGAGAGGGAGGACGGCGGGAGGGTGGAGGTAGGTTTGGTGGACAGATAGAGGTGGATGTCATTCGCATAGCAATGGAAATGGATGCTGAATTTATGGAAGATGTAGCCGAGAGGAAGTAAGTGGAAAATAAACAGAAGGGGACCCGAGACAGAACCTTGAGGAACACCAGTAGTAACTAGAAATGGTTGAGTACAGTCAGAAAGCTAGGATTTAAACCAGTCCAAGGGTGTGTCAGTGATTCCAATGGAGGCCAGTATGTTAAGGAGGATGTTGTGAGAAATGGTGTCAAAGGCTGCGCTCAGATCACGTAGGATGAGAATGGATAAAAGTCGGGACTCAGCTGGCATGAGGAGGTCATTTGTGTTTTTTACCAAGGCTGAAATCCAAGAAAAGAAGATCTGTAAAATGTTTTCACTGCTTTTATAGAAAAGTTTGACCCTTAAAATACTGTGACAGGATCAGGACTGTAACCAGCCATTTTTATTATCAACTAATCTGATGATTATTTTCCTGATTAGGCCTAATCATTTGGCCTAAGAAACATCAGTTTTGTCCAAACAACTGCCCAAAAACTCTGTTTATGATGATAAAAAGAGAGAAACATAGAACATTCTTATATTTCAGGGGCTAGAACCATCAAATATTTCACTACTACTCAATTTGACTGGTAATTATTTAGTTGATTGTTGCGGTTCTACACAGAACTTGCTGAGGAGGGTGAATGAAAACACCCTCAACCTAAAAAACGGAAGTAAATTTAGTATAACAATACTGTTGTTATTAACATCAATTAAACATGATTAATCAGTGCTGTGTGTGCAGCATTTTGTGTAGCTGGTCCAAGTTAAGCTGGTGTTTAACTGACTGTAACTGTTTGAATGACTTTTATCTATAACAAGGCATCATATTTAATAAGATAATCATTTATTATGTGATTAAAACGCTGATCTCAAAAGTACACAGTAGCTACAGCTGTTAAATAAATGTAGTGCACTAAAAATTACAGTAAAAGCTCAAGTATGAAGTAGCATAAAATAGAAAATTACAGTAAAAGCACTAATACCACACAATTAAAATTCTAATAGAGTATAATAATAATAATAATAATATAGCGTAAAAGTTCTGCATTGAAAATGTTCCTTCAGTAAAATCATGTCAGTATAATCAATAAAATGTAATCAAAGTAATAAAGGTGAATGTTATACCATTATATCTGATGACCCATGACATGATGTAAAAGCAGGATTTTATAGGAAAAACATTATTTCTCATTAGTTTTCTTTCAATTAACTTATTAATTATTGGACTAAGGGTTTTAGTTTTACTTTAACATCATATTTTATCAACTCTTTAAGTATTTTGTGTGTCAAAATCTGAATTTATACAGTAACTAAAGCTGTCAGGTGAATGTAGTTGTGGAAAAAGAATATTTCCTACTGAGAAGTGGAGGAGAAGTAGCAGTAAAGTGGTCTAAACTAAATATTAGTGTAGTAGTAGTGAGTGTAGTAACTTTCCACCGCTGTGATTAATACATACAGATAATATTATTCCACAGCAGCCGGTGTATTAGATCAAGCTGTCCTTTATTTAAAACCATAAAACACGTCCACAGCTCTCACAAAGACAAACCAGGTCCGGGCGGAAGGAGCCGGTTGCCATGGAGACAGATACACGGACCACTAGCTTCCACGTTAGCATGCTAACATAACTTCACTTTCGGCAGATAAAAGCAGTTTTTGTGTGTTTTAATCGTCAGATAAAAGTCGTAACTTACCTTCTACCGCGTTAACTTCTTCTCAGGAGTCACATAATGAAACAAAAAGCGGCGGCAGCGAGTTTAAACCGCTGAGACGTTAAAATGTCTGAATACTGTCAAAAAAAAAGACGTTTGTTAAATACGGCAAGCGCGAGGGGGGAACACAAGGTATGATGGGAGATGTAGTCATGGCAGGTTTAAGGCACAACATGAACTTAGACTCAACAAGGCGATAACAACGGCTTTATGGCTCTGTGCTGAGATTTTCTGCAGGATGATTTTAATATTATTAATTTAAGGTTATAACATGAACTGAAGCAACTGATCGTTTACTGATTACTGCAGTTTACAGAAAAAATAATTTTTGATTACATGTTTATTAAAAGTTATTGTTTTCCTTTTTCTGTTTGTTTTTGTTTTATTATTGTATTATTATTTTTAAAATTTTAAGGTTTTTGGACTTTACTAGACTGACTACTAGTCACTTTGCAGAATTAGATTATTTAAATTATAATTTAAAAAAATACGTTAGTTTAGTTTAGTTTAATTTATTTGCACATACATGTCAAGAAAACACAGGGAAAAGAAATTTTAAGTTAAAACATTGTACAGTTGAGGTTAGAAGCCAAAAATGGCCCATGAAGATACCTCCCCTATTAAATAACAACAATAATACATAAAAAGAAAAAGATAAAAATGAAGACAGCATTATTGAATAAGAGTTCCAGACTGAGAAGTATTACAAAATTGTTAAAAATGTACAATTAAAAAAAAAAAAGAAAAAGTACATAAAGTAATTAAAATTAGCATCATGATCACCAGCTGCAATATTAAAGTGCTGAACACAATGCATCAATAATTACAATCCAATTACATTACATATGATTCTGAAATGGGTCATTCTGCAAAATGAGTCACTTTTGGTACCTTAACTATATTTTGATGCTAATACTTTTGTACTTTTACTTAAGTTCTGAATGCAGGTCTTTTATTTCTGTGCTGCCATATGGCTACTTCAATTAATCAATCAGCCATTGTTTATTCAGGGAAAATTGACTGTGCAATAAGCTCTTATAACAGTGTCACTGAATCTTTATTTAAATTTTAGCATCTGTTCAAACTCACCTGCTGACACTATTATCATGTTATCATCACCTTTAAGTTAATAACACAGTGTGTCTGCAGTCATGTCTCACCTGTCTCTCACCTGTCCCCTCTGTAATCAGAGCCAGAGACTTCGCTGCTTGTGCAGAGATCCTGATTTAAATCCTGAGTTTGGCAGCAGAGGTTTGGTGCTTTCTTCACACTCAGAGATCATGTTGCTGTTGTCACATTTTAGACATTCACACCCCACGATGATATGCACAGCAGCCATCGTGTGTGTGTGTGTGAAGTTATTCATGGTGTGTGTTACTATGTCTCAAAGAGAGTGATGGAAATAAAGTGCAGGACATAAATAAAATACTGGACACATTAAAATGTCGATCTGATGATGGAGCTAGACAAGAAGGATCACCAAAGTTACTAAAATACAGGATGTAACTAGAATTATCACCCCGTGGTTGTTTGCCTCCGCCCACCAGTCAACTTTCTTTTATAGTTTCCATCCATGTCTGTGAAACATGGATGCTTCACACAGAAGATCTATACAATCAGCACAGTTGCACCAATTCAGTATCTGACCAAATGTCTCCCCTTCTGTTCCTGAGATATGACGCTGAGTAATGGGCAGAGAAGAGTTTCTGCAGAACATTATGATGTCACAGTGAAGTTGACCTTTGAGCTTTTGGATATGCTGTAGAGTTAGTGACGAATGGACAGCTCCCCAGACAGAGACAGCAAACTAGCTCGACGACATGCCCAAACATAAGCACGATACTGAATATATTAAACTGTGTGGAACTTGAATTGATGACTAAAAAGAAATCTGGACCCTGTGGCTGTATGAGTTGAGAACCACTGCTTTAAGGTGTTCTTGAGATATCACATTTGCAAGAATGATGGTCAAGGTCAGTGTCCGATCCACCAAAATCCGATCAATTCATCCTCGAGTCCAAGTGAACACGTGTGCCAAATTTGAAGAAGTTCCTTGACGGTGTTCTTGAGATATCACGTTCATGAAAATGAGATGGATGCAAGGTCACAGTGACTTTGACTTTTGACTACCAAAATCCAATCAGTTCATCTTAAATCCAAGTGAACATTTGTTCCTAATATTAAGAAATTCCCTTAAGGCATTCTTGAGATATTGCATTCACGAGAATGAGACAGATGCAAGGTCACAGCGACCTTGACCTCTGACCACCAAAATCCAATCAGTTCATCCTCAAGTCCAAGTGACTGTTTGTGCCAAATCTGAAGATACTCCCTCAAGGCTTCCTTTAGATATTGTGTTCATGAGAATGAGACAGATGCAAGGTCACAGTGACCTTGACCTCTGACCACTGAAATCCAGTGAGTTGAATGTTGAGTGAAGTGAACACTTGTGCCAAATCTGAAGAAATTCCCTTAAGGCGTTCTTGTGATACCACGTTCACAAGGATGGGATGGAAGGACGAATGTGGACGGACAACCTGAAAACATAATGCCTCTGGTGATGGCTAGCATGGAGGCATAAAAAAAATCCCACGAATGTCTGAACTAAATTTTGTGAGGCTAAATCAAGTAGACACATTTGTTAGATTCGTTGATAGATGGATAATGAAGACCTGCTGGTGGCGCTACAGGAAAACTGAGAATCACCAAAGTCAGTCAGATTCATCCTCTGGAGACCACGAACATCTGTATGTAGTCACAGGCATCTTAGTTCAACTGTAAGTACCTATTTCATCATTACAAAGAAAGATACTTACTACAAACAAACTTTAAAATTTAAAGGACAATGTGTCATATTTGATAAGATATGAATCTGCAGAGAAACCAAACAGCAGCTATAGAATAAATGTCATTAAAGAGTTGATGCTGTGAGGAGCTGCAGTGCTGCAGCAGTTACTGTTGTGTACTTACATCATATGAGCTCTTTGAACAACCTTCTGTCTGATCCTTCAAGGTGACACCACGCCACTGCCAACCACCTGGCCCATTTCCCATCATCCCCCTGGGCGAGGTCCCTCTGATTAGTGCTTTAATCAAGGACAAATTTCCACTGTGATCAGATGACATGCAGGCCAAGCACCCGTCGTGACAGCTGATCTGAGGTCAGTCTGATCTGAGGCGAGGGCTGCAGACACACTGTCACATGATGACACAGCAGCACTGTGTACAATTACACAACAGTACTACAATGTACAATTACACAAAAATACTACACATCCTTCATGATTATACCACAAACACTGTACAAATACACAATTACAACTGTAACAATCAAAGTTTATGAAAATACTACAAATACTGTGGACTAATCACTTGTGGAAGAAGTACACAGATCTTTTACTTAGGTAAAAGTACCAGAACCACAATGTGGAAAATACTCCATTAAAAGTAACAGTATTTTTTTTAAGATTTCTAATACAGTACACAAGTATTCTCTGCTTCTTGTAGTCGAAGGTTCAGCAGAAAAAGTACACGATTTCCCCAGATATATCACATGCTAACATTATCGGCATAAACCTATGATGTTTCATGTTGAATAAATTAGCATAGTGGCTAGCAGACTTTCCTCTCGTCATATGAAGCCAGGATAAATCACACACAAGACCTTAAAAGTTATTTTGTGGGGCAGTAAAAGTATGCAAGTATTGTCAGTTTCAAGTAGTTAGTTCAAGTATCAGCAGTAAAAGTACACGTTTTCCTCAGATATACAACATGCTAATGTTATTAGCACTAGCCTATGATGGTTCCCAATGAATAAGTTAGCATAGTGGGTAGCATACCTTTCTCTACTCATATGAAGCCAGAATAAATCACACGAGTTAAAAATGTTATTTCGTGGGGCAGTAAAAGTACACAAGTATTATCAGCTCCATGTAGCCAAAGTAACAGCATAAATGTGCATAGTTTTCCCCGGAAATACAACATGCTAACATTATTAACACAAGCCTATGATGTTTCCCATTGATTAAATTAGCATAGTGGCTAGCAGACTTTCCTCCTCTCATATGAAGTCATAGTAAATCACAAACAACAAAATTATTTTTTGTGGGGCTGAGGGAAATGGTTTTACGTTTACAAAGATACAGGAAGTCTGCGTTGCTGCGCTGTGTAGTTACATTTCTGGGGAGTTACACATCAAGCTATGACATAGGCTCTGCAGAGCTTACATTGTAGATTCTATGTTGATTCTATGCAGAGGTACAAATCCCGCTTCATGCTTAAACAGAAAAGTAGTGTGAGATATGTCTGAAGAGATGAGAGGGAGGTTCAAACCCCGCCTCTTTTCTCACCTGTTCGCTGCAGGAAGTGGGTGTGAATGTTGGACTGGGCTCAGCGTATTCTGAAGAGGCACACAAGCAGCTTAAAAAGCACTTTAATAAAAACACACAACAGCAGCTTGTTTGTTTTTTCCATTTTGTTTATTGTGTTGGTCTGTTCATATCTTTAAAGAGATTATATACACAAATTAGTACAACAGGAAGAGTTATCCAAAAAAATTACACATTCAAAAAAGACAGACAACCCTCGAGAAAAAGATTTTAACATAAGTGTGTGTCTAAACTCTCCGCTGGGAATTTCACTCTTGTCTTTAATACAAAGTTATTTTTAAAGCTACACGGGAGGAGCACGTATCCACACGCTTATTTTAAGATCATTTTCCAGTTAAGAAAGAACAGGTGCAGTGTATTAATAGCTACAGCAGACAAAATACAAAAAACAAAAAACATCTCCCTGGACTGATCAGGATGAGTGGTACAAAAGTTTCTCTTGAAGTCTTATAATGTTTGAACTGAAAGAAAGGTAAACTATATTTTACCCCCGTCTATTAAAATATACGTTCGTGCTATAATTGCAGTTATTTGATTAAAATAATTTACTATTTTTAACTCAGCTGACTTTTAACTAGTTATTTTATGAAAAGATTCCAAGAAGATCCCCGAACAGAAAAGTGGAAAAATACACAACTCTCTCTTTTGTTTTTATCACAATCAAAAGAATATTTTAGCAAACAGCTTCACATTTCACTCCTCTCACTCACTCAGACTACCTGAAGTAAAGAAAAAAGACAGGTGATGATTAAAACACAGATCTCACTGCACGCCAGTGACTTTAAGAGCAGTTAAAGTGAGGCGACGAGGTCTCTTAAGGCTCACAGATCAGAGTTTCCACCACAACGTTGCTCTCAAAGTGACGAATCTTGTGGCAGTTCAGAGCTTCGCGCTTCTGCATACCTGTAAGACAAGAAGAGGGGGTTAATGCGCTGAGTCGAGGCAGTAAACACAACCTAATGTTTACTTATTTCATACTTTGTTGTATCTACAGTTTAATACAAAAGTGTTTGAAATGTTCCTGACTTTTAAAATGAAAACAGTTTATCAGTGGGCAAAATGTCCCCTCAGTCTCCAGGAGGAGGATTGTGCCTGTCTTTGACACATGTTCTAGAGCTGGGTGATATGGACAAAAATCCTCTCTCTGTATTTTCAGGCTGAACGGTGATACACAACATATATCTCTGTATTTTCTATGAAATGGGTGACATGTTCAGAGTCAAGTCAAAGCCACATTTGAGACTGAGATACAGCTGCACAACATGGAAATGAAACAATATAAAATCAATAGCAGGGCTGTGCGTGAACTTTCTGCACACAGCACTGGAGCTTCAGAGGTTGAAAGGTTTGCAGCACAGGACACTAAACTATAACATGAGTATGAACGTATGAAGTAGGTTTGAGACAATAAAAATCTTTGTGGGCGGAGTTAGGCCCTGATCACACAGAAAGTGTTTTAGCAACTGGAGGCGCCATTTTGTAATTGTTTTTAACGAGAATGAAGCATTTTGGTCGCTGTTTTTGTGTTGCAACGCGCCACACCTCACGTTCATGGAGTTTTTGCCGCAGCGCTTTGAACTTCTCAAGTTGAAAAAACGTTCAACTCAGAGCATAAGAGCGCCCCACGTCATCTTTTTTTCCCATTGTCCCATTGGATGATTTGAGAGGCGGGCCTTCTGTGGTGGTCATGACAACAAGTTTACAGTTGGTAAACAATGGAGGAGAAACTGGTGGTAGCGGTTGCTGGATACCCAGAGCAATACTCCCTGATGATAGACAGCAGGTTCTCAAATTGTCCCTGACTCATCCTTAAATATTCCTGGAAACAGCCATCATGGAGGAGAAGCTCCTGGACCAGCTGGTGGTACTCTCCATGATCCAGCCTCTTTTTTAGGGTCTCATGTACTCACACAGATCTCCGTTTATCTGTGACCAACAAACTAATTACTGACAAGTACCCTCTGCCTGTCCGTTTTTTATTTTTTGCAACCTGCAAAACACTTGCTGTGTGATCAGAGCCTTAAAAAGTAATTTCCTGTGGTGTTTCAAATGAATCTGTTGCTGGAAAATGATCTACATCTATTATTAATGGGGCCTAAATCTTATTTCTGTCGTATAAGAAACATCTGTGTTGGCACTGCATTTTTGAAACAGATCTGTCACCTGCATCCAGGCGCTGTCTCAGTGTCACACTGTCACACTACAACTACTAACAAGAACAGCTAGCAAACAAACGCTCAGCTGACACAATCAAGCAGCTCTGTTTCCCACACATGCAGCGCAGCGCTGTACTGCACGTGTACTGCGCTCATTTCACTCATCTCACAGACTGATTACAGTAGTGCGTGCAACATATAGACTGATGTCAGCTGCTCTGTGTCTCTCTGAGTGTTGAAGGAGAAACTGTGAGTGAGTGAGTGGGGTGGAGCTGTGAGGAGGGTATGAGAGAGGTGAGATGCACACTGGTATGTGTGATGTTACCCAGCATGACCCTATATCAGTATAAACAGAGTGGTCTAAATCTTGCTTGAAAATATATCAACATATCGTACAGGCGTTTTATCACCCAGTCCTAACTTGTTTAAATTGTCTTTCCACAATAAATCAAAACAAATGGATTCTCATGAATATTTTTTTTTGCGGTACCAAACTGGCGCCTAACCGTGACTATTGTGTACTGTTACACAGGGAACTACATTCCTGTTTAAGGCACTCCAAACTGTCACCCATGTTTCGTCCATTGTTAGGTGGTTTAACTGAAATCCTTTCAGGTTTGTTTACTCTGTCCCTGGGCTGAAACTATTTCTGTTTCCTGATTTCCTCTATGTTTACTTAACACTGTGGTTTGCTAAACGTGGCACTGCTTCTTTGTGTATATGGACATTACACCTTCTGATCTGTACGAACAGAAACACACACTGAAAGATCTCTGAACGACACAAGGGAACGTTAGCTGACGTGCAGCCTGGAGCAAACTGCTAACGCGACAATAAGTTCACACAGTTAATTTAACTCCTGTCTTCTAAGTGTGTGTGAACCATCCATTATATGACCTGGTTTAGCTGTTTTAAACACAGGTGTGAGCTGGGCCTTTAGTGTTTTCAGCCGCTGTAACTTCATCTATTCCTTGTCAGAGACACATCTATGACCTTAAATGTAAAAGAGCTCTTCTAATAAGCATAAATAGAGGCCTGAGTGACTTCCTGTTCCTACCCAGAATCCTGTCTCTGCGCTGCAGCTTGTAGGTGTCTTTGCCGCGGCAGAGGTTGTAGATGAAGTAGCCGAGCTGGTCGACGTGCTGCAGACGCTCTGTCACAACCATCTCCTCATGGAGCAGGTAAGACTGAGGCAGGTAGGTGCCGGCCTGCGCAGAGAGAGGACAGATGATAGGGATGAATACATGATCACCACTGATAGAGTTAAAGCTGCCTCATTCAGACTCCTCAGGGCTCAGTGCAAACCTTATTTTTAGTATGTGAAATAACATCAATGAAGTTGCACCCTTGTTCTAATTTGCTGGTTTTACCAGTTTTGTTTTTAGGAACTGGTTCTTACAGTTTTTAATGTCGTTAGATCCGTCCTCACCACTACTGGAGTCTGTTTACTGTAAACTGACATCAACTGTGTCTCTCATCCATCAAAACGTCTGTGAAAATCAGTTTAAAACAAACTACTCGGTGGTTTTAACAAATTTATTTGGTGCTAGTTTTGATGTCTACTTTCTATTTTATAAAGAAACACTCAATTTAAGAAGCATGCTTATCTAATGTCTTGGAGAGAGTTAGATGAGAAGATTAAAACCACAAATATGAAGCTACAGCCACTTCAGCATGAAGACTAGAGACACTTGGCTCTGTGCAAAGGTGTCAATCGTCTCATTTAACTTGCTTATTTCTCAAAATATATAGTTATTATTAAATATATAATGTAATAATCCTTAATTAAATGAAGGATTGCCGTTGACGTCTAGATTAAGGTGAAACTTCAGTGGTTTACCTTGACGTTGACGAGCAGCTCCAAAAAGTCTCTGGGAGGCATGACGATGGAGGTGTTGAGTGGAATGACGTAGCACTTGTTCAGACTCAGATCCAGGTAGGCGGTCAACCTCTGAGACACACGACAAACATTTATAGACCAACAAAACTAACATCTACACAGCTGTAATTTCCTCTTTTTAAACAAGTAATAAACCTGTTTCACAAATTCTGCCCCTACCAACCTAAAAGTCAGAAAGAACCAGGCCTTTGTTTGGAGCAGGCCTCTGTTAGAGACACACTTTTTATTTTTCATTTCCCCTTCTTCCCAGTAAATGACAACTGGTCCCTTCCTCCATGTTTATTTGTGTTGATAAATCAGTTCCTATTCTTTCACCTTTCATTTATTTTGCTGATAATTTTCAATCTACTGTGAATGAACACTTCCAGTTGATTTCAATACATTTCAGTCTTCCAGCCTGCCTGTTAATGTTAGGCTTTTAATGTGAAAATCCATAGGAAGTTGTCATTTGAATGCCGTGTTTTCTATGAGACTTTGCAATAGAAGTCTTTGGAATTTAACTTGAATCTTTCCCTCTAATCTATGTTTAATAAGATGCATTTATGTGACTATAATTTACTGCTGATGATAAATAAGTCACAATCAACAGAAATGATAATTATCTATTTATCATCAAAGTTGTTAGTGATTCACACAGGAAGCAGCCGGGGATCTGTCTCACCCGCTGGAAGTCGTGGACGATGTCTGCTGGGTCTCCGTCTCCGAACTCGGGCACGGGGACGTTGATGAGCTCCACCTGCTCCCTCTCCAGCACCCTGATCCTCTCCTCCAGCTGCCGCAGCTGGAACTGGTTTGGCAGCTCCACCTCCAACTACAAACCAGTTCAGCCAGTTCATTAACCAGTAACACAACCAGTCACACTGACAGTTATTTGGTCACTTATTTCCTTTGTTATTCCACAGTCTGAACTCAATGTATTTCTATAGCAAGAGCCATTAAATGGGCTTAAATTAATTATATGTAATTAATTCTGTGTTGGATTCAAACCACCATGAAAGACTGACAGGAAACACTGCAGACTGTAATCCAGAGTCACTGTTTATAATTTAATCTGATTGATATAAGACTCACAGTTTACTGTTCACAGATGTATTAGAGCCAGATTAAGATACCGGTAATGCTAACACAACACTTCCTGCTTCTACTGGACAAAAACAGGACAGCTTTTATTGTGACACAGTCAAAGGAAACAATGTCATCGAGGTTAGAAATGACCACAATCATTCAACAGAAATGTGTCTACAACGTGACGTCTTCAAATGTTTGTTTTGCCCAACAGTTAAAAAGATATATTTAATGTTCTATAATGTAAGTAAATAAAAACTAAAAGAATTCTCAAGTGAACATCAAATGTTTGCACTGTTCCTGAAAATTGACATAATCAGTCAATTATCAAAATAGCTGCGGATTTATTTTCTGTCTGGTTTTTTGTAACGGATTAATCAGCAAATAATTACAGCGCAATTTAAAAAAAAAAAAATCTTATTATATTTGTCAAAAGTGTGAACAGAATGTAAAAAATGGAGAAAAAAATGGGTATCATTTAAGAAGAAAATAAATGTATAAATTAATAAATAAATAAATAAATGTGAACATACAGACACAGAAATTCAGAAATAAATGTAGTTGTACAAAAATGTGTAAATAAATTTCAGATTTTTCTTCATGTACTTTTAAAATACATACTTTTATCTATACATTTCTTAATGCATTTAATTATTTATTTACATATTTATCTATTTTTATTATTTTATTTTTTATTCATTTTATTTATTCATGGGTTATTTCATTTATTTACATATTTCAACATGTATTTTAATCAATGCATTTCTTTATTTATTCATATATTTATTCATTTATTTATATTAAAGTTATTTTTAATCCTCCATATTAATATGGTGTGGTAATGAAACAGAAATAATGAAAAATATAAGAAATAAAATCTCCACCTGTAGAGAAAACAGTCTGAAAATAGTCGACTAAAACGTAAAGTGAACGTGATTTGAAGTTAAAACTAATAAAAACATGAGTCTGTGTGTCTGTGTGTGTGTGTGTAAACACAGATACAGATGACTCTACTGTGAGCTCAGCCTGAAGTCATTAACTCAGAAATCAATCAGTGACCCAGTCTGTAATGATTAATAAAACACTTCCTGTCGCATGTTCTGAACACAAACACTAACATCTGATAAGCAGCAGAAAGAGAAACTGAGCTGATGTGTTGAACAGCTTCATACCTCGTCTTCCTCCTGGATCATGAAGTCTTCCTCACGGTAGTTCACACCACACACAAACACCTGACCCTCCTGCAGAGAGGAAGAGGAGGAGAACACAAATGAAGGAGTGAGTGTTTGAGTCTGTGCAGCAGATGTGAATGTGTTGAGTGCTGTAAACTGTAACAAGGCCTGTTTGTCACACATTACATTTCTGCTTTTTTTAAAAAATAATCAGAGCTCCACGCTGTAAAACATTATAATAATAAACTTTATTAATACAGAACTCCTTAAAACAAAGTGACAAAATGTTTAATGCAACTTTTCACAGCGCAGGAAGTAGAGTATAATAACAAATAAGAAGTGTTGAGGTGGCCGACACGTTAATATCTCAGGTTGTATAAAGTCACTGTTAGTCTGATTTCAAATTAGTCACCAGGACTAGTTCATGGTTAAACTGGATTTACAGGGTTTTGTATCAATGGGATGATGTGTCAGTGTTTAACTTGATGAAACAGACACTGACATCTGGTTATTTTTTTCGTTAGTCCCTACATGCAACTGTTATGTGTATGTTTATTTATTAACAGAGAGTGGTGATGATGGTGGTCTTTCTTCATCTTCACCCTCATCGATAATTACTGACATCAGAAACATGTAGAGGGAAACACTAGCTGACCAATCACAGCACGCGTGGTCTCAATGTGATATCTGGGTCTCCATCCTCCAGGAGATAGACCCAGCCCTCATCTCTGCTCCCATTTATGTGAATGTCCTTGAGTCTGTGTATTGTGTGTCTGCGGCAGAGAGGAGGTCGCAGCACCTGGAGGTTTCTTGACGTCTTCCTGGATCCATGTTACATTCACGTTATCTTTGTCTACCTTCCTCCGTTCCTCCTTATCTGGATCCAGGGGTGCAGAACTCTATAGATATATAAAAGCCCTTTAAAGAAAATTTTGGGCATTTTTGACATGACTCTCTCTGTAGCTGCAGCTACATATGTGCTGTATATAAATCCATCTTAACACGGCATCCTAACGTGTTCGACTATCATGTCACATCACACATCAGACGCTCTCTGTCCACACTGAGTCTGCTGTCAATCATGGCCCAGCAGACTCATTTAAACCTCCCTTGAGCAATTTCACTTTGCGTTTTTCCCTTAACCTCAGGATGGCAGGACTATCATACAGTTTGTCGACATGCACCAGGTGGGAACTACACAGGCAGAACTAATGTTTTCATAACCAAACAAGCACAGGTCAACTAACAGTAGACATTTCCTGCTAGGTGGCGGACATGGCCACAGCAGAGAAGTGTAAAGTCAAAAGCGTGGGCCGCTGCTTTGAGGAGCAGTGGAAAGATGAATACTTTTTCACTGAATGATGAAACAGCTGTGTTTGTCGAATTGTGTATGATTTTTTTTTATAATCCATTTGATGCGAGAAGCAGCTGACCCGCAGACACTTTCCCAGGATCTAATCCAAAAAGTCTGGACACCCCCGGCCTACATGGTTTGTTAACATGAAGAAACAGAAGTGCACTGAAGTTACGTGATGCTACGTGACAGTCAGACGCTAATTTTCTATTGGGACATGATGTCATTATGTTCCCCTCAGGAGCAGCTGCTGAGTCAAGTGAGACACCTGGTAAAATTCATTACACTAGTCCGGTCCTGTCTTTGGCTTAATATCAAACCAGTTTGAAAATGTTTACACCAGACTGTGAACAGAGTGTTAGAGCCTCATGTGTCTGTAGACTTATGGTTGTGTTTTATGCATGAGGATTTAAATCACCTCGACTTTCACGGCTGTGTTTTGTGTTTAGTTTCTGTTTTGTCTGATTCCACTTTGCTGCAGTTATTAATCTCCATACAGAGAGGAGGACAGGTCTGTGTATCACTCACATCTCTGCTCTTTAAAACCTGCTGAGGTAGGCGGAGTCAGCACGTGACATAAAAGCAGCTCGCAGCAGTTTACCTGCTCCGACATGTCCAGTGTGTCACATTTCATACTTGTGATGTTGTTTTTGGACTTGATCGACAACTACAACCCAAATACTGACATTATCAGATGCTTTTTTATTGTGAAAGTCATGAGCTAATAGGGGTGGGAATCTTTGGGCACCTCACGATTTGATAACGATTACGATTCAGGGGCTACGATTCGATTATAAAACGATTATTGATGCATCTTTAATTTATGTATATTGATGCACTTTTTCACAACACACATTTCTTTTTGTCTCACTGAATAAGCATTCAACACTTTTTCAACACAATTTTTAAAAACAGTGCATTTGTAATAATTAAGAGTTGAATTCATTTCCATTATATTTTATCAAACATATAAATGGAAATGCTTGCAAACTGGAAAGTTACAACTTCATTGTATGGAACCAAGGGTAACAACAGGTATCTTAAATCACAAGATAAAATGTGCAGTTAGAGTAACAAATGATTCGGTGGCGACAGACGTCCACGCATCACATGTAACTGCGATCCTACCTGCCTTCAACAGCGAGGCCATGACTTCTGTTTTGGTTTGATTGTAGAGTGTCGGGATGGTCGTGTTAGTGAAATAGCGTCGGGATGGGATGGTGTATCTGGGCTCCAGTGTATGCAGCAGTGTTCGAAATCCCTGATTTTCCACGACAGAATAAGGACGCAAATCCTTGGCAATAAATGCCGCGATGGCCTTCGTAATTCGCTTCGCCTTTTCCGATGAGGGTGGCAGCTTTCTAATTGCTTCCTCGATTGTTCTCTGTTCGGTAGCGCCACTAGTAGCCGCAGCAACAACAGCCTGCCTTCTCCCTGACTCCTCCGTCGGGTGGAATCGAGTTACATGGCTTCTCATGTTTGTTGTGTTGCCAAAGTATTTTATTTTAGCACGACACAGCTTACATATAACGTGGCTCTTGTCCAGTTCTCTTCCGCCGTCAACGTTGTAGAAGCCGAAGTGTTTCCACTCGTCTGCTTTTAAATTAGAAGGAGCTGTTCGGATCTCACGGCGAGGTGGATGGCGGTCAGCCATGTTTGTTTTCCTCTGTGTGTGTGTCGGCATATCCACTCCAGGTGCGCATCCCAAAGTGTCCCGGAGATGACACGTACCGTGCTTCTTAGTTCCGCATTATTTAGAACCTTCTGTATTACTCTAATTAACAGATTTAAATAATCGAAATTTGGACGTTTGTGAATCTATTCAGATTCGTCCACGTCCGAATCGCGATGCATCTAAGAATCGGAAATTTCCCCCACCCCTATGAGTTAGTTTATAATTATTTATTTAATACATGGTTTTATTTCCTTGTCTGCTAGTTTGTAATGTCGTGTCTCTAGAGGACTTGTAAGTGGGTTGCCTAAGTCAACCCCTGACGATAAGCAAACATTAAAGCTGAAAGTCGTCCTGCTTCAAATCTAATCTGCCTTCACTGATCCTTTCATATATGATTACTGTTAAATTTACCTCTCCTTCCCACCCTCGCTGGGGCTGGTAGCTCACCTCCAGGATGTAGTAGCGGTACAGGTAGGCTCCTCCAACCACCACTCCAGACAGCATGAGGGCGAGACCCAGGCACATGCACCAGCACCAGGCCCGGGACTGGTGACGCACCGGCAGAGCTGCCTCCTCATCCTGCAAGAGAGAAGAAGAAGAAGATGGGATCAGTGAGGATGTTCAAATATTAAATCCTCCTCCGAAGAAAAGGAAAAAACGTGTCTGATTGTTATTGCTCTGGTTATTTCTCTACTTCTTCTGCCATTATTTCTACACCTCTTCCCTCCTTTACTCCTCAGACGTATCCATTCACTGCAACACTCTGTATTTCATCAAGAAAACACCACTTATTTTCACTGCTGTGAGATGCAGCAATGCACCAACAAAGACAGAGAAGAAGAAGAGGACAACTGCCAGCAGGGAAACATCAGTGCAAACAATGCTGGACTTAAGGGTGGTTTTAAGGGAAGTTTTAAGTGTGAGAAAAAGCCTCAGTGCAGGCTCACAGAGCTGCTAGCGTGTCTGTGGACTCTGATCTTGTTACTGACACGAAGTTGCAAGCGAGTGCTGGTTGATAAGGACGATAACTTATCAGCTAGTGGTTACAATTAAAAAAAAATACATCTTAAATCTGTAGATCTTTTTTTGAGGCCGACTGTCACATGGATAACGTTATAAAACTGTCAAATATCAACGTTGTGCATTTAAGAAGCTCTTGTAAGAAACCTGAGACTTTGATCTGAGTGGCCAGGAGGATTGTGGGTAAATATTCTGAATAGACCTGGGCTTATTTTCATCAGACAAACATCAGCTGCTGGACTCTGGCCAGCAGGATGAAGAAGCAGCTTCTCTCAGAACAAGACCTGACTCGTCTCCTCCTGCTGCTAAAAACTGAAAACCTCTGTCAGACTAAGAGACACTTCGTCTGAAGATAAACAGCCAGGAGTCATTAACGTGAAGCTCTCTCTCCTTTGACCTCCATCACATCTGTTTAACTGATGTTGAGCCTTAAAACACAACCTGTGGTTTCACTTACAGAAACTCTGACAAGCTTTTTACCGTTAATTTTCAACACACCCTTCTTTTGAATTCACAGAAGTGCTTGTACTGAGAACTTATGGTGTATGAATTGTTTCTGTCATGTATGAATCACTATTAGAAACCAACAACTTCTCCTATTCTTGACGTTAGTGGAAAGAGCTGCAACTAGGGCTGGGTACTGTTTAAAAAAAATGATGTTAACAGTACCCTTAAAGTGATGCTGATACCAATAGAATACTTCTTTTAATACCTAGAATGTGAATGGAGTTGGGTGTAGTCACACACCACGTACCTTATGGTTACTAACAGGTTTAATGACAGGGTTCTGGTTTCGGTGTGAGTTCGGACTGTTTAGCCTCGTTTCTACCAAGCAGTACGGATCAGTTCAGTTCACTTTGTTGCACATCAGAGTGGTTATTTTTCGGTTTTCATTGTAAAAAGTTGTGGATGGCACCATTTAAATGGTCACACTGATCCCGTACTAAACGTGGAGCTAGAAACACTTCAGTCCATTGATTAGTCAATAGCAAACCATCTCTCTTAATGAAAACACGTCGTGTCTCCCCTAGCATGCGTAAACAGACGACCACGCAAAGTCTTTACTACTTTCACTGAATGATCTGTACTTCCTCCACCTTTGCATTAGCTTCAAATCACGTGCAGACAGCCCCTAATTAAACTTGATTTCTCACCCGCAGAAGTATCTTTTTGGCTATTGTCTTTATAATGACGGGATTGTGGGTCTTTTAGCTCGGGGTATTTCTTGACCTCAACAACAAGTCTCTCCTCATCCATTCTTCATCACAAACTTCTCAACTTCAAGCTCTCTTAATACATCGATGATGAGGAGAGGAGTCAAGCTGCTATTGGAGCAGAGAAAAAGAGCTGCTGCAGGAGCTGGTGTGTACAAGCAGAAAACAAGTGGGGGGAAAAATGCCTTTAATATTCCTGCCTTTTTAATTCTGGTAGTGACAAGGCTGGAAATAGGACAGTGATGTGAAGTGGCACGGGGACACATCCAGGAGTGCCGACACGCGCCTATCCGCCGCCAATGTAGGGCTGTACATTGCAGCGGTGAATGCCACCAGTGTGTTTTCGTCTTTACTCAATGTTGAATTGTAACTGCTTTTCATACCATGGCTAGTTTTTCATACATCAATAAACTATAACTATGAAATGAAAGGATGTTTTACTGCCGCTAACAGAAGCTATAGACCGAGAAAAATATTTAATTCATTGTGCCGACTAACGACAGCGACTGGCAACTTTTGTGGTAGAACATTTACTTGTGATGTTACTCAAAGCAATTTCTTAATAACATTAGGAATTTATTCTGATATTAAAGCAATGAAAATGTGGAATGAGAGATTTTATGACATGTTTGCACAACAAGCGACTTTAACGACCAATTCATCAACTCATGTTTCCAGTTTAGGAGCCTGCTGATTTCTGACATTATGTCTATGCAGAAGTGTTTTTGGTTTCCCCACAATGCAACACTTCATAACACCCGGACACACAAACTTCCTCCTCGTGTTCCTGTAATCAGCCAAGCAACACCTAGCAGAAACCGTCGCCTGAGCCAAAGAGGAAACCGCACAAACTAAGAAATATCAGCCCTCGTGGTGTGATCGGTTTTGTTACGATGAAAAAGACTTCTGCAGTAAATCTTTATGTTCACGTACATCTTGAAGGAACAGTTTTGTCAACAGCGTACGACAAAATGCAACAAAGGGAATTATAGTTACGTAGTGTTAAATAATTACTTTTAAAATATTAGACAGAGAAACAGCCTTTTGTCACAGCTGCTATAAACACTACAATTTCAATATAGCAGCCAAAAAACAAAATGTATTTTTAAGAAGAACACATAGAACATATTTCCTGACATCAGCAGACAGTCGACCTCCTGTTAAACATTCATATTTGTATTTTCAGTGTGGTCAGTAAAGCTGTGCCATCTGAGTGAATGCAGCTTTTATAACTTGATAAATGTGGACTATGAGTCAGCATTTCCAGAACACCTCGGGTACAGGAGGAAACTGCAGGGAGGCAACTAAAACACTGACAGTCAGCCCTTTCTGACCTTCACCTCAATTCGCGGCCAGCAAAGACAAAACTCCCAGAACATTGTGTAATGTTTTGTTTTCTGCGAGCAGGAACGTTGAGAAAAGAGGAACCAAAGAACAGCGGTCTGACGGGAGGAAGTGAGGGTGAAACCTTTAGAGAGGAAAGTGCTGAGCAGCTAACACTGGCGGTGTTAGACGAAGTGTGTTTGACAGGCCGAGCGGCTGACAGAGACACTAAAAGGGAACATTTCCTGAGGCTTTTCTCCATCAGCTGTAAAGCTCAGGTCATTGCTGCTGAGCGGACATTTGTTTCAAACACTCACACTGACTTTGACTTCTAGGAAAACAAAAAAGAGGAAGTGAAGGCAAAATAGCAGAAAGTAGAAGAGGATGTTTTTCACCTACTGGACATCTTCGGTGACACGAGAATATTAAAAAGGTTAGTTAGGAGACGTTTGGCCCTGTGTCGGGAGCTGTCAGGCAGGTGGAGGACATCCAGTTTTATTTCTAGTTTAAGGTGAGAAAGTTAGATTTTAAAAATAAATGTGTTTGAATATCAGTGTATAATCGGGGTCTAATCCAACCCTGATATGAGGGTTATTTTCAAATATGAGTTACACAGTTGTAGTCAATATTTTGCACATTACTGCACAAAACTGTTCAACTCTTTCATTTCAAAACAGGTACATTATATTTTTATCTTATGTTTATTGCACATTTTTCTATTTTACTGCTATTTACTGCTTTATTTTTTTAATCTTCTTTTATCATGTTTATTCATATGCACCAAAACACCAAGGAAAATTCAGTGTACATGAAAACCTACTTGGCAATAAATCTGATTCTGATTCTAGCAAGTAACTTTATTTATAAGGGCCCTGAAACACCTGGCTGATAGTCACCTGTTGGTCAATGTTGTGCTGTCAGCGAGCATCTAGCACCCTAATCTTTAATGTGTCCCCAACACTGGCACTAATTGATCATTTTAAATCGGACTCTGAGACGGCAGAGCCCATCGGTGAGAGAAATCCTTCTGATTGGCAGTTCAGCCTTGCACACAAAAAGAGAAACATAAGTGAGGAAAGTAAACAAATGACTGAGGTCAAGGGGCCGTGAGATCTAAACAAACTTCTCATATTGGGTAACAATGTGTTTTGAGCCACCGCGCTCTTCCACAGAAACAGTGAGTAATTGTGTCATTCTTCACTGGAGCACGGTAAACTGTTCTTTCAACATCAGGTCATGCTGTCAATGTGCTAACTAGTGTCTTGAATCTGTCCTGGTGATCTTCCTCTTTCTCTTTTTGAATGATGAATACAGACTACTGCTTCCTGCTGGCGTGGAGACTTGTTTCGTCACACACAGGCGCAGAACGAGCATGTTTTTTGGGGCATTGGCTGTAGTCTTCGCAGTGTGTTCATATCCAACTTTTTAGCCAAGATACAGGCAATGTGAGGCGACGCAACAGTTAGCTTTCGTTGATGCTAGTTCTTTGAAGACAGTTTGGTGTGTCTGGGCCTTAAGAACCACAACCTAAAAAGTCTCCTTTAATTTTATACCTGAAACGAGGAACAACCGACCAACCCTGATCAGAGGAGCTCAAAGAACTGCTGGTTACAATCTGCAGGGCTGCAGAAGATCTTAACTAAGAGTCCACTTGGATCCACTCGGGTAGAAGGCCGAGTTCAAACCTGCATGCAAACACATAGTCGCCTTATTTGAATTAAATACATCTAGTGCAGGAAGATGAGTTTGTAAGATGAATATTGTGTTTCTATTGTTTCCAGGTGACCAGTGCAATAAGATCAAATAACTGTCATGCTGAGTTGAAAACTCATTGATCTGTTTACTCAAACTGGACTTCCATGATTGTATTTCATCATCACATCAGAGTTATCCTGTCAGCATGGCTTGGTGTTCGCCTCTATTTTATTTATTAGTTCAGATTTCTGGTTGGCCATGAAGTAGAGGTGACGGTGAATTTAAATAACGTCAAGGCGAACTACTTCAGACTGTAAATATTGAAAT